TCTTCTGTGTGGAAATATGGAGGAAGAATTTTCAAACACAAAAAAGACAACTAGGTGCCTAGTTCTTATTCCTTTTGATAATTTCCTGATATGTAATTGCATTTGAAAGAGGGAGAAAGAGTATTTTTGAGGCGAAAACTACCATCTGGGAAATCTTGGTCTCCCTATGATTCTGTTGTAAATATCCTTAGCGATTTTCAGCTAATTGCTAGAATCAGCTCCTCTACTCTGTTCTGGTGCTGACATCCAGCTGATTTTGAAGGGAGGTAAGAAGCCTGTGGAAAACTATAGTTGAGAACTTAGCTGTGGCTCTTTGGACTGTGAAGTGATGATCAAAATTCTTTACAGGCATTCATGCTTGTTAATTCTTCAAGGATCCTCATTTGCTGGAATGATACAGGCATGTGTCTCCAAACACCTTTCTCAATTCCGATTTCTGTGAAAATGGAGACTAGTAGGTCTGCATGTGACTTAGAAAGCAGCTCTAAATATGGTCCATGCGGCCTGAGCCACAACACCGGTTTTGAAAAGAAGGAAAACTTTACTGAATATAGTAACACAGATCAAAGTTCCAAAAAAATGCAGGATTACATTGAGCAAATGATCCAAGTTTTCCTATCAAGTATTGCTCTGCTGTAAAATGTGAGTGAGATAGAACAGACTAAGTGAGAATTAGGCTATGGCATGGTTGTATTGGAATGGAGAGAGACAGCAAAAAATGGAGTGAATTAATTTTTGAAAGGAAAAGGCAGTCTTGAATGAAATATTTTCAGCTAAGAAAGACAAAATAAGAATTGCCTCTTGCCAGTTTTTCATTTTATCTCATGATAGGCAGCTCTGAAATCATCCTATAGCTGCAGGGAAACAATTGCCTTGAGTCATGCAATTAAATATAGCAACTGCAGCTTGTTGTTGGGTGTGACGTGCCAGAACTTTATATCCTGTAGTGGCCTTGCTAAATGTTGATTAAGACAGTTAGTTTGCAAAAGCTTTTAAAAAAATGAGTAAAGTTGTCCTTTGCCCGCAGTGTGCAGCCAGGTAAGAGGTCATTCAGCACATATTGCTGTGAAAAGTTCATTTCTCACATTTCTTTGATAGGGTTCTTTAGGATTTATGATTATTGACAATGTGTCAACATTTATATCTCTGTATCCAAGGTCAAAATTTGATCCATAGGTTTTGAAAGAATGTTTTTCCTTAGTACTGTCAATAGGTTTTGGTTTTGCATAGATATGTTGCTATAGTAAGCATGAGCAGTGTGGAGCACTTCACCTTTTGCTCTGACATTATTTCATAGCTCCCTTTAAAGCATCCCAGATTGTATCCCTAGGAAATGACAACTATTTCCTTAGTTCTGATCCTCTGTTGCAGTTCTGATGTTCCTAGATCACTTTTATTTGTGTGTCATGTTTAGAAAGGCTGAGTGAAGAAGGATTGCATGTTAGATATATTATAGTGCTTGAAAAGTGTGAGTAGTGCTTGGAAAAGTGTGAGTTTTTTTTTTTTTTAATCTGATTTCTAAGGTGAACAGCCCTGTAAATTAATAGTTTGCAGCTGTCATGGTTGTGGCTATGAAGTAAAGGACAGAGAGTCAGACCTGGAGTCTTGATGACTTCACAGGAAAAACTTTTCCATTTTCTAGGTTGCTTTTCCTGGCCTTAGTGCCAGCCCCATTTATCAGACACTTTGCAACAGTGTCAGCTGAATGTAACATGATTTCTGCTACTGTGCTAGACATTGGCATCAAGGAAAATTATGATTTTTTCCTCCCAGCTTATTTCCATTCATTACTTTTGTGTGTGTGTGATAAGGACTGTGGGCTTCCATTTGTGTGGGCTTCCATTTGAAGAAACGAGACAGGAGTTCTGCCTGTCTCCTACTCGGAATATGGATGGAGCTCCTTAGTGTGGGTGTCTACATGGGCCACGGGGAGCGAGCTGGCAGGGGCGCGGAGGTCACCATTAAGGTTCCTTTGGCTTCTGAAGATGCACCCTAAAAAGCTAACTGATTGACTTCTTAAACTTGAGTTACACTTAATTAAAGAGTGATTGCCTGTTCCATGGCTGTGTTTATTTACTTATTTTCAATTTTGTTTTTCATGTCTTGGCAGAACAAACAGAAGTGTCCTGAGTGCTTAGCTCCTGTCCAGGTTTATAAACACTTTTTTTTTTAATCACTATTACATATTTTATTTAAATTGTGATATTTTCACAGTTGGCTCAGCACAACAGTTTTATCTGTTTCATGTGCCCTGGCCTCACAAATCCACAAATCCATGTACCTTAGGGAATTCTTTGCTGTGTTGGGACCCAGGGCTTTTATTGTGAGAGAGTGTCCAGTAAACCAGGAATGCAGCATCTTACATTCTTTGTGAGATCTGCTAGATAATAAAAATGAAACATGGTGCAACGATATCTGTCCTGATGATAATTTAATAAAGCAATTTCTACTCTTTAAATTTAAGTGAATGTAGGTAGGATTGTAATTGGTAAGCTCTTTTCATATTTAAGTTGTTATTTGCAGTGGGAAAGATTAATACTCATTGGAGTTTGCACATCTGAACAAAAATCATATTGACTTTTTAAATTTAGAAATAAATGGATTGAATTTTTACTTCAGTATGTTAGTGATAATAATCAGACTTTCTGTGACTGACAGATAAACAGTGACAGTCTGGACTGAAAAGAAAGACACAGGAGAAAGATAGCATGAAAAACAAAAAGGTTTACGATTGAAATTTCTATTTTTGAGCTCATTAACTAGCTCATTAACTAGGAGAACAGAGATGCAGAACTTCTGCCTGTATGAATGTGTCTTCCTTTCTGGGTGTGAGTAGTCGATTGGAGTAGTAAAAAGAGCCTAGAGTCTCTGCTAAGGAGCAGAAAGCTTCTCAGGGAAGGAAAACTGTGTATAGATTTGATTGATTTTTCTGTCTTGCTGTGCTTTATTCCAACTTTTAACCTTCATAAACTGAAGAACTGCTTTGTTTAGATCCAGTTATTTTCCTGTAGTTCTAAAGTCTTTGAAGAACAATCCCACTACTACTATTTTAGTTCTTTTTGGCTATCTTAATGTTGACTTTGCCCTTTCATCTCCTTTGAGCCTTGTAAGAAGGTTTAAGGTCACAGAAGCCAGTGAAAGTATTTTCACCCTTTGTGTTAACCTTCCAGCCACCGCTGCCTTGGTGGCCCTGTCTGTCTGTAGGGCAGGCACGTTAACAGTGTTTCTTTACTCTGCTTCCAAATTCCCGTAAGTTGCGTTTACTTTAGGCTAATCAGTTTTGCCTGGTTTCACAAAAGCCATGAAATCTATGAGCTTTCAGCTTGGAGCCCCTTCTAGAGGTTGCAAAGCGGTAGTTACTTGGGTGTGAAAAAGGTGATAGCTCTTCTAATCCTTTTTAATTGTGCTCTGTCATTTGTGAAGGGGGAATGCACTGTCAGATTACAAGTATTTCTAACCTACCACTACAGTACCAGCTAGAAAAATACTGATGTGCTTTGAAAACACTCTTGAAGGAGAACACAACTTACCCTTGTTACAGAAAGAAATGCTATGAGCGGAACTTAATGAATACCACCTACACTGGCTCTATGCAAAACTCAAGTCAGCAGAACAGAACAAATAAGCTCTCATCTCCCACCTCGTCCTGCCGTTCCAGCCCCATGTGCCTACACAAATATTCTGGCCTTGCTGAAAGTCACCACTCAGCCAAGTTTCTTTAGCTTATGTGTGATCAGGAAGCTCTCCTGATGTTTCAGAAGCCTGAACTGTGGCACAAGCATCCATCCCTGGTTTTGGACAGTATGCTGCTGTGGAGAGTTGAGGAGAGGTGCCAGGAAAGGTTTCCTATTATTGCTTGCAAGCTTCCTGCTTGAGGTTGTTGTGCCCTTAGCTGATTAGCTTACTGTTGGCAAGTCAGCTGTCGCTTCTGTTGGGCTGGAGCTATACATCTCAGAACACTTCCATTTTCTATTGCCAACCGGAGTGAGTGGGATGGCCTTGTCTCCATTGGAGGACAACTGAAGTGAATCAAACCGCTGAAGTTCTTTCTAGCAAAAATAGTGGTTTTGAAATACCTGTTCTACTGTTCCCACATTTCAGAGTGAATGAGTAGAGGTTGAAATCCTACTATAGTCCTACTAATTATCTGTTTATAGAGTTGTTCTCAAGCTTCAGAATTTGTCTTTTAATTTTAGGGTCCTGCAGTTCAAGTGCCTCTTGCTTTTATGCTTTTCTCAGCAGCCGTGAGAGCTGGAGTTTTTAATGGTGCTCGAGCTTTAGTAACGCACATTCTGTTTTGTGACAAATGATAAAGTCTTGGTAAAACTGAAACGACCTGAATGCCTGAACATACCTGGCTTCTCCTCAAGCCAGAAATGGGCTTTAAAGCTTAAGACCTTTAAAATTAAAAAATCAATTGAAAAATCCACAGTGAGGAATATACAGTGAGTCTATGATGCCTTAAACACATTTGCTTTGACTGAAATGCATCTTTAACCTGAATAATTTCTGATGAAAAAGACAAATGTCTTGATTTAGTTGAGAACTGCAATATGAATGACTAGTTTTTATCTTTCGTGTGAATCAAATCCAATGAAAATTGTGTTTCCTGTTTATTTTAAGTAGTGACCCAAAACCAGTGTCATTGCACTTCATATGCTAAGTGGGAAATTGCTCTCTAATGCATCAAAGGACAGGAAGATGTAAATACTGTAGAATTATGCAATTGCACTCGCTTTCTCCATTCCTTTTGACTGTACGTTACAGGAGTGAACTTTTGCCCATATGCTTGCGGTTCATATTTGTTTTCTTCTGAAGCAGAGTTACTGGCCTCTGCTGGAACCCTGTCAACATTACAGGTGACAGGATTGATTCAAAATGACACCTGTGTCCAACTGTAACCCTTTTGTAACTGTCACCTTCTAGGTAACACTCGGCTGCACTTTCTGGTCCTGGTGACAGGCTGTACGTCAGTGGGAAAAATCCTGGACGCGGAAGTTTACAAAATTACCGCAACAGATTTCTGTCCTCTCCAGGAAGAAACCAAGGAAGAGGAACGTGTTACTGCCTTGAAGAAAATACTGAACTCTGGGATGTTCTATTTCTCCTGGCCTAATGCAGGCTCAAACTTAGACTTGACTGTCCGGGCTCAGAAGCAGGGTGATAACCACTATGAATCCGGTAACTCGTTCTTCTGGTTAGTACTGTATGTTCTATCAGAGTCTTGTGTCATCCCTGTCCACATCTTTGTGGCCAAACAGCCTCAGAGAGAGTGGATGCATGTGCTGCAGGTGCGCCACCCTCCAGCTTTCAAGTGTGCAATTTTATAGGGCACACATGGCTTCAGTGGTATAAAGTCGTGCTGTAATTTCATGGTAAAACAGGGTGAAAAAGTAACTTCTGTTTGATTAAAATTAATCTGCCTGTGAAATGCAATTCTATCTGGAAATTTTGTGTTTTTAAAAGAAAACAGAGGATTTATTGTTCACTACTGAAGAAAAAAAAATAGTAACAAACAATTTCCTTTTCAGTTCTTTTTAATAATTTGCTTGAAAAGTTTTAAGTGTAGCCATAAGTACTTGAACTTTTCTACTTCCTGCATCAGTTTGCTGCCCCTAGCTAATCCAACAGGAACCCGAGGAGAGGTTCCACCCTTTTATGTGGTGCCGATGTTAAAAATATAGAATTAATTTAACATTTCTCTGAGAGAGATGCATCCTGTGGAAGACAGCTCTTCAGGGGTTTACATAGGTGTAATAACTTGAGCAATGAATGATCATAAGAGGGATTTTTTTGACTCTCATCGAAAGGCACATTTTGAAAAGTGAAGTGGGAAGAAAATCTGGAGAGACTGATGTCGCTGTTGATTACACTTAATAAGTTTATTGCTTTTTTGTTCTTAAATTGGAGGTTAAAACAGACATTTCCCCTTAATTTTAGTAGAAAATGTGCTATTGCCACTGATTCACAGGTCCAGTTTTTGTTTGGAGAGTTTTCCTGAAAATGTTGTTGCGTTTTAAAAATAGCCTTTGTCCTGCAGTGTGTATTGAGATCCAGGCAGTACTGTTTGAAGCTTAATTATCTTGATAGTGCTGTTTTTTAAAAAAGAGACTGTTAATTATAAATGTATTTCTTGAGCAAAAAGAGGGGACATTTGCACCTGAATTTAAAAGGCAAAGCTACAAGCTATATAGAGAACTGCTCAGTGGTAGCAGTGATTGAAATTTGCCATGTTCTGTGCACTGTAGTAATTTACAATAATTTCCCCTGATCTTGCTGGGTTTCAGGTGAAGTAAAGCTAAAGCAGGAAAGGGATCCCATAACATTAACTGCTTAAATTAGTGATCGTCGTAGGATGGGATCTGTTTGTCTCGTTTCATTAAGCACTACATCTGTATGTACCCTGCTGCCCCTTGCAGGAACCAGCTGCTGCACGTGCCCTTCGAACATTATCAGGTGAACTGCTCCGACTGGCTGCTGAAAGTCATCTGTGGTGTAGTGGACATCCGCACTGTGTACGCTTCCCACCAGAAGGCAAAAGCCTGCCTCATATCCCGCTTCAGCTGGGAGAGAGCTGGCGCCGGCTTCCACATTCGAGGCGTCAATGACGATGGGCACGTGTCCAACTTCGTTGAGACGGAGCAGGTAAGCTAATGAATCCAGTAGCTTTGAATAATCCAGTCCCCTCTGGCTTAACAGGGACAAAGTTTGCAGCAAGACTTGTTTTTTTCCAGTAATATTTAAGATGGTGCTGCGTGTAGCAGGTCTCAGATCTCACCCATGATGTGTGTGTTTGCAGTCTCCTCTTTTTCCACATTTCTGGCTTCTCCAGGCGCATGCTTTTCATTAATGCTTTTGACTTTCCTTCCTGAATGTAAAAGTCATAGTTGTTTGGGGTGATGGTGAAATTATAAACATAGATTTTAAAAATATTTAGAATTCTGTCTTGGTACATGTGTAATCAACATGTATAAGCAGAAGGGTCTCAGCTGCACAAACTTAGAATTAATAAGATCCATGTTTAAGTGTTGTTTTAAATCTGTTTCAGAAAATGTCGTATTTACTTTATAATTTTGGCATACATTTTCTAGTATATTATTTTTTAAAGTTCATCATGTTTTCCATGCTGCAGACCACTGGAGGAAAAAAAATGCTTGAAAGGCTTTTTATAAAGTAATAGTGTCTACATTTTATTTTCCTCTTTTGTTTGTTTTAAGTAGCTTTCTTTGTCCATGCCACAAGCTTTGCTGGGATATACTTTATAATCCCCTGTACTACAACAGTATAGCTGTGTTTAATCTCATGTGAAAGAATTTTGGCTAAGGAGTTTCTCTTTTTCAGCAAAGAATAGATTTGAGATTTGCTTTTGATTCTAAGGAAGTCACCTAAAATCATATAAATTCTTATGATCATAAATATGAAAAGTGTAAAACTATTCCAGATTGAAGCCTTCACTTTTGTACAGTAAGTTTTTCAGCTCTGAAATGAGGATGATTATTAACCTCCTTCTGCAGAGCACTGAGGACAACATTGATAGAGACTAGGTTTTGTAGTGGTTGCTATATTATCATAAAGAGGATCTTGCAATGCTCAAATATATCACATTAATCAAGAGGAAGCTGCCCAGGAAAGGAACTGTGGCTGCTGAAAGCCAAGAGGCTAGTAACCAAACCAGAGAGAGAAGCTACCATAGTCTCCTAGTAAGACAAATTCCAGTGCAACTCGTTTGGGAAGGGACTTTGATCTCTTATGAGAGGATTTACATCCGCAGGAGGTGGTATGACACAGGTTTTGTATGGATCTATAGCAATCTTAGTTCCAGCTAATACTGAAGACAATCTCATGGGTAAAATACATTCAGCAGGCTCCCCTGATTGACATAGCCAACAAAGTAACAACACAATCCGTTGTCTTTATTACGTGTGATTTAACTTACTACCTTGAAAATTAATTAAGCCACTGGACCCTGAAGAATCTGAAGTCTTCTGTGCCAGCTGAAAGGAGTGCTTTCTTGTTCAAATGTAACCACCCTTTCCTTTTTGAATAGAAATAGGAATTACTAGCGCATTACTTAACTGACAGAAAGGGATGTCTCTATAAGTAGAATAGGTTAATTGGCAAGCAGGATAATGATCTGATCTTAAAGCCCAATTATTTTGAGCGCTGTCATTGCATTTCTACAAAATTGTGCATGCAGTCTAGAATGTGTTTTCATATGTGTGTGTACGTGTGTTTCTATGTATATACACACGCATGCCATGCAGTGCACATCCGATGAAGTGATGCTCGTAAGGGAAGGGCGGTGAGACCTTTCTTCTGGTGACATAGTTTTGAGTGTGGTGCAGAGATGTTTTAGCTATTTGTGTCATTGTTTGTTCCAGAAGGAATCCAGAAGGAATACAGCTTCCTCACTGCAGGACTGTGCATGAGAGTTTGCCTCTGCCAAGGGCAGCATCCCGCCCCCAAAATGTGCATATGTTAGCACCGGTGTTTCCTCATGGCATAGTGCGAGGGCAGCAGCTCATTCGGTGCTGACCTCTCTGCCTCCCCACAGCATGATGTGAGAATGCCTTCAGACAAATATTGGCCCCAAATCCAGCAAGTTTTTGTAACTTAAAAATTTCTCTTAAGGTATTGCCATGATGGTACAGCCTCAAGCACTTCACCTGGTTCTGCTAATGACACATATCTTTAAGACTTGACAGTACCTCATTTCGCCCACAGGGAGTCGCAGACAGATGCTCCCTAGTTCCAGCTGGATACTCCAGGCATGCTTGAAGCATATGCAAATGTCACATATGACCTTCTGCCCCTTGGTCAAAATCTCACCTGGGATGCTAGTGGCTTTTTGCTTCTGTATCTTTTTTTTTTCCCATTTTGACTTCCAGTAGGCTATCCTGGCAGTTTTCTGCTTAGTTTTTAAGCATCTGCGGATTCTCTTTGCTGGATCCCAAGCTTTTCCCATGTAGTGCTTGAGTTTGTTTTGTCAGCTTGTGAATTCTCTGTTAATGATAATTTTCTTTTGTGCCTCTGTTCCAGAGCAACTGAAAGTCAAGTCCTGGAACCCCTAAACCTTTCTAGAAAATCTTTCAGTGCATCGGGAAATATAGACAGCTCTGCTCACCAAAAAGTGGAATTTTCTTATGGAACTTGGGAACAGAATAACTTGGTACAGTCTGCTATTTTAGTTGAGTGCCTTATCATTGGCAGTGTGTGTTACTTAGGAGATGAAGAATTTTCTTATGCTGAAATGAACAGGAAAGAAAATGTTGAAGAGGGTAGTCAGCTATTTATTTATTTATTTATTCTCCCCTTCAGATCAGCTTCCAATTTGCAGCACTACAGTTAGCAGTTGTCTAACTGTAGGAAATACTTTTGCTGCCCTGCACACTGCTTGGGTCAGAAGTAACGCATCGTGCCTTATTATATTCTCGGAGTACGTTGATTGGCGTGAAATTAAATAAGGTGGTTTTTGCATCACAAGAGCTGGGGGTTGGCCCCTGGTGAAAGGCAGAGCGGTGCTTGGTGACTGGTGCTCCCAATAGCTGGGGCAGGAGCAGATTCCTCACGGGCTGCTGTGCTCTGCCCTGAACAGTCAGGAGCTGCTGTCGAGTGGGAGGGCTAAAGGATTTTGAGTGTTTTGCCACTGGCTAAGCCAAAGAAAAAGAGTGAAATGGTAGATTGAAAATCGTAACAAAGACTTGCAATTTTAAATAATAGTGTGTGGTTTGGTTTTAAAACAGGAAAGTGAAGTTGCTGTTGCTAGTGGTGATAAACAGTGGTTTGACCAAACTGAATGCAAAAGAAATCAAAGTTGGGCTAACCACTGGGATGCCTGAGATTCAGTTCAAGCTGGCACCCACTTGCCATTAGGAAGTAAAAGTCCTAGAATAAACTCTCTCCTGTTTCATAGTAGACTACTGACTAATCCCCTGTGAGGTAATATGTTGGCTGAGGAACGTTTTGTTTCCATTTGCTGTAGCCTGTACAGTATAATGGCACTCTGGCTGTGTGCTTCCATCGTTAAGTAACACCCTTGGATTCCAAAAAGGCAGGACTTCTCTCCTCTCTGTAATGAATTACTTCTAACATTTTCCTGTGTTTTTTTTTTTTTTTTTAGAAGAGGAAAAGACAATTAGTCTTATCTGCAGGCAGCTCTGTTGTGCATAAATGCTGTTCTTCTGTCTCCCCCTGCGTTAGCCTTGTGGCATTTTAGCTCTGCAGTGAGTCACTTTTTGTGGGCTTACTTAACTGCTGTGACTCACTGCCTTTGAGGAGAAAAAGGAAAAAGTTAAATATCTCGCTTCCCTTTTTGTTTTCGAAATGAAACTACTAAATGATCTTTTGGATGTTTGATCAATTGGTTTGCATCTTTACATAGAAAAAAAAGAAAAAATGGTAAGAAAGATTTAAGCAGAAACAAAATATGAAGGAAGAAAAAAGAGAGAGAGTTTGAGGCAGGAGGGAAAAAAGCTATAAAATGTAAACTTCCAGGTTTGCTGCCAGTATTTTCTACTGGGTGGGCAGCTCTTCCTGCTTGCAGAGTTGCAGGTAGTTCTCAAGTAAAGTTTTAAAATCAGCCTCTGTTTCTCCTGGTAGCTTAAATGGTAGATTTTTGCCTTGTTCGCATCTGAGAGCTCTCCACTGAGAATGCAGTTTGCTTTGTCAGGGTTTTTTTTTTCTCCCTTCACCTTTCCTTCCTCGCCTAGTAATCTCCTAAAGTTGAGTGTGTCTCACATTCTTCTCATTCTCCTGATAGTGCTGAGAAACAAGCATGCTTTACTCATTTAAGGTATGTGCCTGTCACAGTTTTCCTTTCAGTTTCTCCCCCAGGTATTCTCCCAAGAGTGGTGGTATTTGGCCCTGTATGACTTAAGGCCCTATATGACAACTCTAGTTTACCAAAGATAAATTAATGATTTCCATTTTTTTCCTCCTGCTAGGACTTTTCAATGATGCATATAAAGTAGAAGCCTTTATGAGGCATTAAAAGGAAATGCTGTGAATTTGGATTAACCTTCTCTTCTTCCAGTTTAAGTGTTGGACACTGATTAAGAAAAAATCCCGATTTCACAGTAACTCCTGGACTGCGTTGGATGGCTCTGTAGGAGAGGAATGGATGCAATCATGTGGTTAGTTTGTTTTCTGGATCAGGTCTTAGTATGGCCCCAGGCATGACAGAGGATTGTTTTGGCAAATGTATTTTTGGATCCTGCGGTCTGGCTTGGAGGAGCTCACAAAGTAGTATGTTGAGGCCATCTGCTCTTTGTGGGCTGTGTGGCAGATCTGGGGATTCAGGGATAAGCTGTGAGTATCTATCTATCTATCTCATCATGGACTGTATGGCTGTGACCCTTGAGTCTGTGATGAATTCTGCTGTTTGAAGTTGTAACAGAATCATTATTTCCTTCTAACAGAGCTAAGAGATAGAGACTAGTGAATAAATCATTCTGAGCGATGAATAAGATCAACTCCCTGGGATTTACTTACAGGTACAGCTTGGCACTTGCTGCTGTGAGGGCCAACATTAGGTACCAGCTGGATGTCAGAGATGTTTGTTTCTTGCTCAGAGCTTGAGGAGGGCTGCCTGTGCATGAAACGCAAGCTTTGGCTGCGAGCTCAGGAAAGATTCATGGGGCTAAGAGAGAAGGTCTGGCGCTATGGATCAGCAGGAGAAGGGTGAGAAATGCATTCTCTTGAACTGTTGGCAAGTCACCCTCAATCATTATGCTGGCTAAAGAGAGCACCAAAGGACTCCAAGGCAGCAGGAGATGTGCAGTGCTTGCTCACACCGCAGGTCGGAGGACAGGCAATCTGTTATGAAGGCTCAGAGCTCCTCCATGTGATTTGAAGTGTCTTGTTGCTATTATGTTGTCTGAGAGGAAACTGCAGGAAATGAGTCTGAAAATCCATCCAGCTGTGTGGACTGGGTTATTCTGTGGGCCAGACCCTTTGAGGTAGATGAAGAAAATACCCTCCGTGAGGATTTTGAGGATTTGGTAGAAAAGAAGCACCTTCTCTGCTGAATCTCAGAGATTTGCACAATTCTAAGGATTCAATAAATGGTTACCATCTGTCTAGGAAGCACTGACTGGCAAAAAACTCCCAGTGATTTTGGAAATGTATTTTTCCAACTCACTGGCAGCTTTGAAGAAAATAGTTTTGGATTCTTCTAGGTCACAAAAATGAGGTGAGAGGATTGTGAAAGACCACAGAATTGCTCTAGAGAATAGGATGATGAGCCCTGTAAGTAAAAGGAAAGAAAAAAATGTGCTCAAGAGACCATCCTCCCAGAAACTTCTTCTGAATTTCTGAAAGCTTCATGCTGCGTATAAAAACATCAGTTTCTTTAAAACATTTTTTCAGCATAGGACGTTCTGTATGAGACCTCAGCATGACAGTGGCAGGGGAATGATCACAGAATAAAAAATAAGTCTTTGCTTTGATTCAGGCATCTTGATTAGATTACAGTAATAGTCTGCAAATAGTTTAAATATTTTCAGATTATAGAGCAGCAAATAGTTCAAAGAGGTAACAGGTGAAAAACAGTGCACAGAAAATGTGAATGATAGTTGGGACAAACATCTATCAACTCTGACAGTGTTGAATCACTAAATAAATGGGAATATGAGCATCTGATAATGCAGAAAGGCAGAAATGGTATTTTTCTTTTGTATTTGGCATTAGAAAAAGGGTAAAAGGGTATATATTCATGGTCCAAAACTGTGGTGAATGCTTTCTATGTATACCACAGCTCAAGAAGATTTTAAACTGCAGGTATTAGAACAAGAATTATAGTTTAGATTAACAGGTCTAGAGAATTTGCAGGTAAGAATTTTAACAGAGCTGGCCAGAGAGACACTGGAATTGTCAACTTTTCAATTAGGGAAACGGGAAGTTGCTGAAGATTGTAAAAAAATTGATATATTTAGTAGGAGGACTGGTCTTCTGCAGTAAGCTAAGTGGCTAGGTTGTAGTTTATGTGTGATATTGGACATACCTGATTTCTCTATGTAGCAGCCTTGTCTATAATTCTTATGCTTAAGCATGACATTTCATTTCAAGCATTTCACTTATCACCAAGGTGATTATTCTTAAGTTTTGAAGTGAGCCGATTGTGACTTGTCCTTGCTCAGGTTCAAGGCCAGGTTCCTCTTTGGTATGAGTCAGGGTAATCCCGGGGCTGCCGGGGGAGCTGCACAATTTGGTCTCCCTTAGAATTGGCTCCTCTGATGGGATGACTATGTGTGAAAAGATGATTCAGTGCTTTGAAGTCACTGATTCATCTCTGACAACACGCCTCAGTGAGGATATGATGCAGAGGAAGAGGAAGGGCTTCTCACTTCTCTTGTAGCCCAACTGTATGAGGAGCTTTCCCGAGGAGAGGAATGCAAGGAGAGGGGCGCCCGCGCGTCGCCATGGTCTCCAGCTCCTGCACTTGCTTCCCAAAACCTCTGCTGGGAGGGCATCTTTGGGACCCGTATTTCTCAAGCCTTGCAAGGAAGATTCTCAAAGCAACAACCTGGTGGAAACACCTACCCTCTCTTCCAGGAGTTGCACTAGGAGGAGGAGAAGCACAGAAGCGCTCTGAATTGATTGGTGTGAGGCCTCTGAAAATATTCTAAGAATTAATTAGATGAAACTGGTGACAGAGTATTTAAATGCCAATTTCCCTGGTGTACGTGTACTTCTATTTACCTGCGTAGCTTCAAAAATCTTGCTTTGGCGATAAATGTAAAGATGAGAGGCCAAGGTTCAGATAAGTGGAAGCATTTCTGAACCATCCAGGCAGTGTGTCTAGTGATAAACGCAAAAGTGAAGACTGCACTAGCATTGTGTGGTAACCCATTTTCAAGTTATTTTCTGTTTTGGGGACTGCTAGCCAGCTGGCAGCTGCTGTGCTAAGTGATACGGTGCGGTTGCGATGGAGCTACCTGGACGCCCTGTATGGCTACTGTTCCTTGCAGGGCTGTTGAGCGCTCATTGTGAAGCATGAGATAAGAGCGGTGCGTATCATGTAGCACGCATGGAGAGCAGCCAGATTCCACTGCTAAGTATAGGCCGAGGGGTGAGCCTGGCATTGCACAGTTGCTCAGTGTCTGAAGATAGTGCCTTTTGTGCTGCGTTCACATACAGGGCAGTGCTTTCCTCAGGGGCTGGCAGAGAGCAAAAGCAAAGGGGGAAATGAACCTTTGCCCTTCACGTAGCTTTGTCTCCAAAGCATTTTGGTAACAGCTTTATAACCAGTATGAAGGGAGAGTTTGAGATCTGGTTGGGAATGGAGAGTGTGGAGCCTCTCGCTGTGGAGCTCTTAGAAAGGAAATAGTGCACATCCTGTTCACTGTATCTCAGAATGGGAGTGGCAGAGCTGCTGATTTCACTGAGATTTATTTGGACACTCTGACAAGGCACAACATGCAGTGAAATAAGAAATAGTAAGTAAAGTAGGAGATAGGCTTATCCCACACCTGACATTACCCATCATTGGTCACAAGGAGCAGTGGCATTTTGCCCAGTAAGATTTTGAGAGAGACAGTGAGGGTAGATGGCTGGTCTTCCTGAGTCTCTTCACTAGTAGATTGAATCCCTCTTCACTGTCGATGAAAGATTTCTTTTATCTTGCCAGCGGTGGTGGTTTAAAGTTCTCTTATTTCGGGTAAGTAGTTAACTGAATCTGCTGTGGTGGCATGAAAGCGAATATGCTATGCTTTGTGTCCCTACCTGGAAGTCTATGGAAAAAGGACTGAGCAGTAAGGAGATACACTGCCTTTCATTGTTTACTTTTTTCACCCTTTGAGTTCAGTGTCTTGAACTGCTGGCTGATCAAGGAGTCACAGACTGGCATGCCTGACTGGAGAACCCTTTATTTTATTCTTTCAGACAATTTACTTGGACGATGCTGCCTCTTCCTTTGTGCAGATCAGAGGCTCTGTTCCACTGTTTTGGGAGCAACCAGGGCTTCAGGTAAACAAACAAAAAATCCTACCTTGCTTGTTGCTCTTGCTACTTTTAATTTATAATCTAGAAGCTTCATAAGATTCAATATTTTTTTTCAAATGAACTTCTATGAAATTGCTGAGCTTTTTCCTTTCAGGGTTGCCTTGTAGGACTTTTTTCCGCATTATAAAAATCACAAATAAAAAGCTGGCAAATAGCTATACTTACTGAACCTTAACATTTTCATATCTTCATGTGCCTCTGCAGGGAGGTGTTTGTGTGGATCTTTGTCCTAATGTCTAAAGTGAGACTTACAGCAAAATCTTTATAACGTTTTTTCATTTGACTTGGAACAACCTTTTCTTCTGCAATGCCAAGTTGGCTTGATGTCCTTCAAACAAAATATAGTGCCCAGACAGTGGGTTTGCTAGATATAAGTGAAAAAGGGTTCCAATCTGATCTGCAAAGCAGAAATATAGTTTAATCAGGCGATTATTGCATGAAGCCTGCAAGGTTACATATGATCTGTGAACTATGGTTTGCCGATGATTACAAACATGAATCCAGTGTTCTTCTCATTCTCTGAACAGAGGGATAAGTAACTAGAATGAGTATGCACATACATGCCAAAAAATAGAGGACATATAAGAGTATTATATATTTGTTAAAGATTATTTGATATATTGTTTTATCATTAAATCTAACATCAAAGTACCATTCAGCAGTACTGGATTTAGTGCAAAAAAAGATGAGAAAGTTAGCATCATCTAGAGCAGTAGTTTCTTCCTGTTATAAAGGCTGTCTGACTATATGTTTTGCAAACATCCTACCCATGATATAACTGTATCTAGCACTGTTTTTTTGTATGCTGTAAAGGCACAGAAATTTTCCCTGATGCAAGTATTTTTGGCTCATGGGCAACATGCTTAGTTAAACAGAATTTTCATTTTTTTAAGTGGAGCATGGTCTGAATTTTTGCTTAATCTCTGTTAGATTATGCAGCCTTCATTCATGTTGCTGAATACTTTTATTTATTTATTTATTTTCTGATCAGTATTTCTTGGATGTGAGCTCTGTTGACAGCAGTGTTAGAAAAGATTGCATAATCCAACCTCATGGAAAAAAGAATGATGATAATATACAGGAAATAATGCACCATCTTACAAATAATTATCAATGCCCTTATTGAAGAGGAAAGAAGCCCTCTGCATTAAGTATCAATAGGGGTATCTAACATTCAAAAGGAGCTTGAGACTACTTTGGTTGACATCTGTGTTAAGAATCCCATTAGATAGTGGCACAGGATTTCATTCTTCATGTTTTCCAGGGGCAGTTCTGATACATTTTTTTGTGTGTATGTAAATAATGAAAGACAAAACAGGACAGACAGTCCATGAAACTGTCATAACTGCAGCCATTTAGCCAGCTGAAGGGCAGGAAGAAAGCTAGGCACACAGCATATCTGTGTGATGCTGTGTGGAATATTTTCTAGAGGAAGTTGGCTAGTGGATATGATTTATTTGATATAAAAAGATGTTTAGGCATTATGTTGCTTAATGATGATCATGTTTTCAATTGTAATTGTAACTGTTGTCTAATAAAAGCTCTGGCTTTTGTATTAAGGATATTATGTGTGTGGGTGTGTAGGCTTTTGGGGATGTCTAAAGAGATGTTTTCTTTGAAGGAAAGAGGGAGACATCTAGTGATTTAGAAGTCTAGCAACTTAGGGAATTACTTCTCTCTTTTTTCTCCTTCTGATATTTTATTTTAGGTGGGATCTCGTCATCTGAGGCTTAACAGAGGTCTGGAAGCTAATGCTCCTGCGTTTGACAGGTAAGCTTAATTTGACTTTATTACTGCTGGCAGTAACACAGCATCATGACATTTAAACAAGATTCCACAGTTTTATGGCTTCCCAGTAGATCGTTAGATGTGAATCATCTCTCAGGTTATGTAGCCAGTCCCTCAGATCTTGCAAAATTATTGGATGGATTTACTTCATTCATTTTCTTTTCCTGCATATGAATTTCTGGTTTCAATGATAATTGAATTAATCTGGTCTCTGACTTGTTTCTGAAAAAACTAAGATTTGCTGAGTGGTATGCAAAAAGAAAGCCTATGTAAGCCATTGTGAGGCAACAAATGTTAATTTACAGTTAAGGCGCAGAGAGCATCCACTTTACCCCTCTATCCCAGGCAATTAAAATTAAATGCTGCTTCCTCTACCTTCTGAATTCACTTTGCTCCTCATTATTTTACCGCTATTCAGAAGTAATAACAATTTGTTCTATAATCACTGTGGTTTGATGTTGTCATGCTGAAGCTCTCCTGCTTTACTTGAAAGACGATTTATAAGCCCTTTTAAACCATTAGACTGTGCTTGTCAGCTGGAGACCATAAACAATCTATACATTAGCTTGGTTCCTTTGAAAGACTGACTGTGAAGTGCTCCCCCTTTGAGGGCAAACTCCCACTGACATTGGTGAGAAGATTGTCTGAAATGGAAATAAAAGATCTGGCTTGTGGCAAATTTCCAAATAGTCAATGTGAGGTCAAGTGATTCATTTGCTTTTTGTTTTGTTTTATTTATGGCAAATCAGAGCTTATGTCCAAGCTAAAGGTCATTTTAGGTAAGGCCTCTTAGTTTATTGGTTTCATTTACGGCAGCTGTTAAGAAAGATGGCCATAGTGACCCTTAATAGGTTTGCAGCACAGAAGGGATTAGATGCACTGTTTGTGCTGCAGTTAGAGCACAGGTTGTGCTCTGATGGGGCCTAGTCCAGATTCTCAAAGGTTTTTAAAACTGTTCAATCACCCTGAACTCAGAAGGTCTTTGAAATTTGTCATCTTCATCTTGGAAATTTATGTTCCACACAGAGGTAATCATATAAGAAGAAAACACAGAATTAGTTAGCCTCTTTCAGCACTTCCCAAGAAACTGGAAGTACTTCAGGCAAGGAACAACAGTAATATTATCTAGCTCAGAGAACCTATTCTTTTCGACTCCAGTGCAAACAGTGAATTGCCTTCTCATAAGAAAAGTGAACATGAGGATCAGCTTGCAGCAGTCCTTCTTTCCCTTGTGCACAGTAAAGCTTCTAAGTTAGATGAGATTCGGGATACCCCCTGTTTACAGCAGTGCAATAGACTGTCTTTTGGAAGTGGGCAAGAAGCAATCAGTTGTTTTAATGGGAGAGGACACTGAAACCAAATGACTTGCTGCAGCTTGTCCATGTGTTTTGGAGTGGATTTAGCCAGTTACATTCTCACACGTGAGAATTATTATATTGAGAAGGCACTAAGAGAAACAAATGGTGATCTCCTTGTTAAAGTATCTTTCTCCTCCCTGAGAAATCCAAGTGTGGTGCTCAAGGAGAGAACCTGAGCTTCAGTGGTTTCACTGTTAGGAAGCAATACTGATCGAAAACCAGGATCTTGGTGCTGGCATCAGAGGGGTGCATATATATTGGAAGAGTTGGCATACAGAGAGCTGGTTGCAGAATCGGGGCCACACGTAGTGCCAGAAAATATCTGTTGCAACGTTTCTCTAAGACCAAACTCCAACTTTCTGCTCTCCTCTCCATGATTTTCAGTGTGGCTTATTCCTGATTATCTGACTTACAAGTGCACGCGCCAAAACACCTGCTGGTTCTCTGACTTTCTGCCATGATGTGCCACTTTGCAGCATGTAATAACTCTTCATTGGTGGGAGTGCTCACTTTCATTTTTTTTCTTTTTCTACACAGCTTACTCTTAAATATCCCCTGCAATGATGTAAGCATATGATATAGTGTGGCTTTGAGATTTAGTTCTTTCTTGATGAACTTGTTCAACTCCTGCAGCACATACATTTCAATTTTAAGAGAATCTATTGAGGAGAGAATGCGTGTTTCTTCAGCTGTCTTAAAAACCCTGACATGTGAATCCCTAAATGTCACATTCTAAAAGACTGGGAACACATGCCTTAAAAAAGATCCCTTTATATTAGACCCATTTTTTATTTCATTCTGAAGAATCTGCCACTGGCTGGGCCAGAGCACTAGGCTAGAAGGACTTTTGGTCTCATCTAGCAGTTGAGAGTGAGTATGACAATTGTGTACTAGCTCCGAAATGTCTGAACCCTATGGTTGATGACATATACTTTTCTGTGTCTCTCTGGCCTTAGGTTTGGGGCCCAAAGCCACGTTATTGCCATTGGCTATAGGCTCAGTCTTGCAAGGTGCTTGCAAGGTTCTGTTGAAGTGTAATACGTTGCCTCTTCTCATCTTCACTGTGCAGCTTCCAGGCAGATGTGGTAGCATAGAAAAGAGTATAAAAACTAACAGCAGCATAAAAGATCTGTGGCCTGTTTCCTCAGCTTCTGCCTTTTTTATGCTAAGTTCAAAGCACCTTTTTTGTTAATTGCACACCTTCACAATTTTTATTTTAATAATTGATTGCAAAGAAACGGAGGAAAATTTACGTAGCTACTCCAGATGAAACCTTCTTCTGGTGGAACAAACAGTGAATGCTGCTTCATGTATTTTGGAAAAGGTAGTGGGCAACGTAATAGGTACTGAACAAAACCATGTTATGGTTACTTTTGTTGTAGGCATATGATGCTTCTGAAAGAGCAGTATGGAAAGCAAGTGATCATTAACCTGTTGGGAAGCAGAGGAGGAGAAGAGGTGCTCAACAAAGCTTTCAAGGTAAAAGCAATGATTCTGTATGAAACTGCTGACTTCCTCTAAGCCTCATGTGCTGTTTCCCTTCTGAGGGAAGAGAAGTCTTTCCAAGTCAGGTGATGAATGTTGGCTCTAAATAAACATTATCTCGTTGATGAATGTTGCATACAGAGAGATAGTACTTCGCAGGCTCGTGGCTTCATTCCAATATTGGCTTCTTGCTTACTTTCTCACACCTATATCCACTTTCTCTTTAACCAGACTTTAAAAAATTGCCCTTAGTCTCTTAAGAGTATGTAGGTCCTATTTGCAAATTAGGATTGTGTTCTGCTTTGTCACAATATTCGGTCATCTGTGCATTGACTGTCTACAGTCAGTGCCTTGTGGGATGGTGAGAATTGCTTTGAGTCCAGTCCCTGACCTTAGCTCACTAAAAGTAAGTTGTCTTGCACTAATTGTAATGGGAATTAGCTGTCTTGTGTGGACTATAATGGGATTTAACTGCCTGAGTACCTGCTGGCAGTCTGGTGTGTGGAAACATGCATTCCTAACCCCTACACATCCCTAGGCAGAACTGATATCTGAAAGCATCTGTGTTGTGTTTTCAGAATGCCAGGCATTAAATAATTAAATCTGCACTGACTTTTAGTGCAATATTGGATTCTCAAGGCCATTTTTTTTAATTAATGCTAATACTGTATAACAAGTACAGACTTGACAGTGTGGATTGGTATAGAATTGAATTTTTGGAAGAGCCTCACTGCCTCACTCTTAGTGGATATTGATGGAAGCCTTCTGAGTGTCTTATCACTTCGGAAGTCACACTTATGAAGAGTAATAGGAAGGTTGTTTAAAGTACAGTACTATGGCAGGTGTAACAGACTTAGCATAATTACAGAATGATAAAACAGTTCTGAATTAAAATGTTTACCATGTGAAATTAAGCAAAATTAAAATTGTAGTTAAATAAAACATAGTTATTGATTTTTTTTTTCCCCAGCCCCTCAGAATACTTGAGATAAGCTTGAGATAAGCAGTATTTTAATAGCCTTTCCGTGCCACCATTTCCTCCTCCTCTGATGGAGCTGGGGGATCATTGTACAAACAGTGGAAAAAGCAAGCAAAAGTCTACCCCATATAGAACACAGCCACAGATAGTGGTTGTAACTAAAACTTGAAAGTTGGTGAAGAAAGTACAGTAGAGGTCTGATCCTAGCTTCTGTTTTCTCCTTTAAACTGAATTTCTACATGACGCAACTAAGCATCTATAACCTCTTGTTTTCCCTGTCTTTAAAACAGCGCTTTTATGATTTTTTGTTTGATTGTTTTTAAGTTGAAATTTAGGGATAAAAGACAGTCATTTTGGAAATGTTCAGGGAAGTATGAGGGTACAAATCTGGCATGTTCTATGAATTTAATGATAATATTTTTACCTAATATGCTCTTGAGGCACTGTTCTGGCCAGTAAATTTATCTTTGTGGGTGTTGCATGTTACCTGGCTTTCTTTTCTCTGGAAAGTAACTTGTATTCAACCTCTTGTTTCTGTTTTGATCACAGAATTAAGTAAGAAATACAGCATGTTTAGAATAAAAACCTTCATTCACTTCTTTTAATTAAATATCCCTTACTTATATTATTAAACATAATCCCTATTCCAGGAAAATTGTGAAAGTGCACTGTGATTTGAAAGAATTGAGATTGACAGCATCAGAAAGCAGAAAGTGAAATATTCTACCCATTCAAAACAACCTCTTGATCTTTTCGATCTTTTCTTTAGGATTTTTTAATTTTATTTTTGTAAATGGATGATCAGAGGGAATACGTAATTAGGCTTTACTTTTAATGATTTTTTTAAGGGTTCAAATTAAAATTAAACTAATTCATAAAGGAGTGATGAGCAGTGATTTTTTTTCTCCTTTTCTGTCATGTTTATCTCTGTTTTTCTATCTTTCTTTGCTTGCTTGCATTCTTTTCTCACTCTACTTGCTGCAGTCTTTACAAGTCTTATCTGAATTGGTTGAAAATATTTCTGTAATTGCTGCCACAGCTGCCAGGTTCCTTGGATCAGAATCCCTTCACAGCCATTACTTCATGCAAAAGAAACCATCAAAAAAAGAGAAGCAAATTGCCACCTTAGCTTCGGCTATTACCTCTTAGCAGAAGACCAAAATCAATAATCTTCTCAGAATGCTATTTCTCTCGCAAGCCTATAACAGATATAATTATTTTTACAGGAAAAGCAAAAGCAGTGCTGTAGTGCAGAGTTACCAATATTCCAACAATTATGTTCAGTGGCGAGAAAATGTTATTTTTGAGTGCATTATCAGCAGCTGTAAAGGCAGGTTGAGGCACTGACAGCTAAGAAGCAGATACCAAGTGTTTTGACCTTTGTTACGATGTAATGAAATGTATTTTGCACTCCCTCTGCAAGCACTGTGCAACACCTCTATATTTGTCTCTGCATGGAAGGTGTAATGGCGAAGCTCATAAAATTGCACTGGTGCAGCTGCTGTATGCACACTTTTATCGTAATGTCACGGTTGTTTTTGTTCAGTTTGTGACACCATCTAAGTGGAAAAGTCCATCTCTTGAGATGAGAAAGTACAGGAAGGAACAAAGGCTTCCATAATTAGAGTTAATATAAAAATTCTCTTTGATTTTGCTGTGGAGGGTAGAATATACTATTATGTTATATGTGTTGCAGATATGCTAGAAATTTATAGTGATTATGAGAATACATATGACGTCATGGAATTGGGAGATGAATTAATCAGGATATTTGACCGCTTTCACTTACGTGGCTCAAACATTTTACAATATGCCATCTGGGATATAATTTTCTTTTTTCTTTTTCTTTTTCTTTTCTTTTTTTTTTTTTTAACCTTTTCCCTTACCACTATCCATCTAGAGTGAGGCCTATGTTTTCCTGTGCCTGGGCACTTGGGAATGGTTGCAAAATACCATGCCTTGTTATGCTCATGTACTGTGAGCAGCTTTGGGCATCTTTACCATCAGGGTGCTTGTCCAGTTCCACCTAGGGCTGCAGAGAGGCCCGGCAAGCCTGCCCAGAGCATCGCTGCTGATGTTCCCCTCTCACACGGAGCTGCAGGAGGGGTTGCTGGGAGCCAAGGCTAAGGGAAAGCGCAGCTCGCTTTGCTCAGGAGGCAACTCGAGTTTGTAGCTCTGTCTTGCAACTACAGCTTAAGCTCCCACATAGAAAGTTGGTCTTTGACAACCCAGTTTAATTTTGGAAAGAAAACACATAGAGAACTTCCATTGCTGTTTTCATATGTGCCATTTCAAAACTCCCTCTGAACTTCTTGAGGTTAAAATAGTGAGAAAATGTTCAACTTTACTAGTGATGAAAAACATACTGATATCAGTCCGTAGGCTGCGGCTTCAGCAGGCCTTGGTTTCTTTTTTCTCCTTCTAAACAGAAATTGCTATGGGCCTCTTCCCATGCAAAAGACACTCCCATGATAAACTTTGACTACCACCAATTGGCCAAACGTGGGAAAACTGAGAAGCTGGAAAACTTACTGAGGCCTCAACTGAAGTTGCACTGGGAAGACTTTGGAATCTTCACAAAGGGCAAGAATGTAAGTCCACGGTGAGTGTCCCGGCCTGATGGTCCTATATAGCCAGGCATCTTCCCTGGAAAGGTTCATCACTGCATCAGGACCAAGAACGTAACTGATTGTCTTGGAATAGCATTTTGTGATAAAGTACTGTCTTGGGCTTAAGTGACTATTTTGGCTTAACTGCATCTCCCATTGCTCAGAATCTGGAAAATTGCTAGTGCGTAGGTTTGCTGATGTTGTGTTGCCGACATCATCGCGTATTGAGATGTGCAGTGGAATACAGTGTACGCAATGTGCCTGCACTGGCAGAACAAGGGTCGGTATATTCAAGCTGAACATTTCATAATCTTATTGACTGAAACCATGATTAGATATCATTTTAAAATAGACCTTTTTCTCCCTCTCCTCTTGTGTTTGGTAACCAAAGTCTGCAGACAGGTACCTTTCGAATGAATTGTTTGGACTGCCTGGATCGCACTAATAGCGTACAGTCCTTCATTGCGCTAGAGGTGAGTTTGAAAAGAGGACTTTTCATGATGCCCCTACTGCATGCGTTGTGCAGGGGAAAGCTGGAGAGAGGACGTAAGCCTCAATAACGTAAGTGTTTCTTGCCAGCTCTGTGATACAGAATGATGCTGGCTGGAATAGTTGCATGGAGAATAAAGAGGAAAAACATAGTTAAGAGCAATTTTCTTTTTCTCTTTCTGCCCCAATCTAGATCCTGCTTGCTCAGTTAGAAAGTCTTGGGCTGAACTCTAAATCTATAATTGAACGCTTTGTGGAGTCCTACAAAGCAATGTGGACTCTCAATGGTCATAATCTGAGCAGAGTATTTACTGGCAGTCGTGCCCTCGAGGGGAAGCACAAGGTAAAGGAAAACGGCAGAGCTGCTTATTCATAAGTGACAGTAAAGCAAGCTGTCAGAATTACTCTTGAGTGTTACTTGTGCTGACGATTCCTCTCTAAAGCAGGTTGGGAAGCTCAAGGATGGAGCCCGCTCTGTGTCACGCACAATTCAGTCAAATTTTTTTGATGCAGCAAAGCAGGAAGCTATCAATTTGCTGCTCATGGGTGACTTCTTCAGGGAGGAATATGCTGACAAAGGCAAGATGCTCATGGACCACACTGCTCTACTAGGTAATGCCAGTGTAAGCTCTTTACTTTTGTGTTCATTTTGTGGGTTTTTCTTCAGCTGTTGGATATGACCAATATTCCTTTTGGAAAAGTAATTAATAAGCCACTTTTGCACAGATATAGTATTGAGAACACTGCTTTCAAATTACTATAGCACATCTCTGGATATTTTTATTCCCTCGTGCCTAATCCACATTTTATATTGGACTTCTGAGTGTGTTTATCTGCTTGTTGATGACAATCTCTCCTGACAGCTTAGAGGAGCTAACTGGAGGAAAAAATGTAGGGCTTTATTTCCAGTTTGGTCCTAAATGAGTCTGACTTATACACGTCTGTTGAGCTCAGATTTTGATGTCTTTATTTTTGACCTGCAGTCTGCAGATGCTTTTAGCTATTTGGTCTTTGAAGGCATGTTTATTCTGTTATTTTGGTTCATTCTCTGCTTTATTCCAGGGCCCTTCTAATCAGCATATACACGTTCATTTTTAAACACCTACAATAAACTAACCTAGCTCCCTCTGAAAGGGACGTGAGCAAAACACAGGATAATCTGCTCCCACAAGCAGCATCAGCTCCAGAGGAAGGGCTGGCCTTTAATAGGATAGACACCAACCATTCATCACCACTTCAGTCCTGGGTTTGTTCCCTGCGAGCAACCAAAAGAGAAACACTGATACGTTCTCTGTGTCTGACTGCAGAGTTAAAGCAAATACTTGAAGATTAAGGTCATCCCAGTTGCTCTTCCAATTAATGATGGACACACAAACACCCTCCTAATTTTGTGTACCCACTAGAAATAATTAATATGGCATCTTCTTGTGAAGAGTTTCGATTAGAATAGTTGATCTGTAACGATGTTAGTTTTGGAGTATTAATGTGAGCCTCTGCTCCTTGCTGCCTTTTTCCTCACACTCTACGTTTCTCAGAGCTTAGATTTAAGTTCTAATTTGTGGTATATCCAGTCTCTGTTGGCTAAACTGAAAAGATTAAGGAAGGAAAAAGACTTTGATCAGTTATTACTTGAAGTGCTGGGAAACCTGAAAAATGTTAAAAGTAAATGGAGTTCTTTTCAAATTGTAGCTTTTAAAACTCTGACTTTTCTCCTCCTGTCCAATCCATTCACCTCCTTGTGTAAAAGCAGAGCTACACTCAAAGAGTGCCTGATGTTTGGAAGAGAAACTGATGGTGTCAGACCCGATTACCTATTTTTTTGCTGTTTCTGTTGGAATTATTCTTTTTCTGTCATTGCCACTATGGTAATGTCATTATTTAACAGTAACTCTGTGCCATTGCTGTCTGTATCCTTTTTATCTTGCAACAGTGCATTTTTATACGTGCTCTCTCCCTCTCTGGCTTCCCCTCCATCAGTAACTCCAAGCATTTTGAAGGCCATGTCAGAGCGGCAGTTTGAGTTCACAAGCTTCAAGCGTGTGCGTGTTGCCATGGGGACCTGGAACGTGAATGGCGGAAAGCAGTTTCGGAGCAACATCCTGGGTACCAGTGAGCTGACGGACTGGCTGCTGGATTCCCCCAAGCTCTCTGGAGTTGCTGAGTTTCAGGGTAAGGCTTTGAAGTCAAAATGTATAAGCAGCATTTCCTGGCATGACAGCAGCAATTTCAGACACCAGATTTGACAAGGTGTTCTTTTCAAAGTCGGTGCATTATATCTGAGGGCATTTGCTGTCAATTCTAAGGGATGTATTCTGCCCCATTTAGCTTTGTGCTGCCTCCCATCAGCAGTGGGGTGGTGTGCGGAGGCTGCTGGTAGAGCAGCTCTTGGCTTGTTACTCAGCGACACCGTTTTGGAGCAGCAGCAGTTCAGAATCTACAGGGCCCTTGCACTTCACTGTGGAGCATATCTTTCTATTCTGCATCTCATAATGGGTTTTACTCCTTGACTTCTCCCCCTTTTTTACTTCATCGTGAGTGGGAGTTACGTGCCTAGGTGCCCTCAAAATGTCTTCTTGGTCTTTATCTGCAGCTAAATGTATCTGTGCTTGTCTGGAAATGTTGCTATCAAAACCTTCAGAGAAAAAGAGATTTATTATTGCATTTGTAATAGGCAGCTTTCCTTGTTCAGTAGTACAGAAACCCTCTAGTGCTCGTCGCTTGCTTAAATTGACTGCTGAGTTTCTCATTTACAGAACAAGGCCAGATAGTGTAATTGATTTACAGATTTTGTTAAGGAAAATGAAAGTTGAACACTGTCATCTTAAAATGGGATTGTACTAAAACTAGTGTAGAATCAGTGCTTTTATTGTTAGAGTAAAACCTTTAGTCATGTGCTGGCATGGCAGGGCTGTTCCAATGCATCCTCTTCTAGTTCAGGAGTTTGTTCCTCAGCTCCTGTGTACTCCCATGAGCTGTCTCTTTTGGACCCTTACATAACTGGGTGCCTGGCTATGCAATCAGGTGCAGACAACTGTATTCAGAGCTGCTTTCTGTGGGTGCTCAGTCCAGCCTGTTTCAGAAACAGTTTGTATGTTGACACATGCCTAAAATCTGTCAAGGGCCGCTCACGTGCCAGCCCAGCCAGGTCTTCTCCGTGGAGCTCTGAGGGCCAGGGGTGGCCCAGGTGCGAGCAAGCGTGGGCAGTCAGCATGTGCTGTGTCGGAGGAGCTGCTGTACCAAAGCCGCAGAGCTCCGGCATGGCTGGGCCGGGCCTCTATTGATAGGAATGTTAGCGTAGTGTCTATATAGCATGATGGGATATGTTAAGTTCATGTGGAAGACTGGGTTCCTGTGGTTTGCTACACTTCATGCTGAGTTAAGTTACTGTTACCAAGGGGTAACAACAGTTTAAACAATATCCCTTTAGAAGGTGGACAAACCTGACCTGTCAATTGCTGTGCTTCTTACTATTATATGTGAGCATTTGGTCTTCAGTGTTATCCACACTGGGTGGTATCCACAGGTCTTGGCAAAAGAAGTGAGAGTCGCGGGGCTTTCAGGTGTCCTAGCCTTATAGGGCAGGTGGTCTAAGAAGGCAGGGGCTAGGAAGAAAGAAGATGAGAAGATACTGCCAAGGCTTCTTTAAAGTAGCAAATGCATTTACTAAAGGCATTGAGAAAGGAAAGGGACATACTGGTGTGTGGACAGCAGCTTCAGTTACACATAGGTCAGTGTCAGAAAAGAAGGCAGCAAGGGTGTTAGGTAACCAGTGTAAGATGACAGGTGGTGGTAAGATAGTGAGTAATGGCTCTAATGATATGTCAAGGTGAGAGAGGAGAGCACTGACTATTTTCTCATTTTAACATTGCTACAATACAATGCTTTGTTTGGAACTGTTCCCTGCAAGAGAGATGGAGACCAACTACTGGGAGAAAAGCAGGACAAAAATCCAGAGGAACTGCAGGGGTTGTTTTGTGAGATTAGATTAAAGGATCTATGAATATGTATGGCTTGGCAGGTGATACCCAAAATAGAACTACAGGAATGTTCTTTGGCACAAATTAGAATATAGATTGTTAGAAGAAACAACATAGTAGTAACTCCTGTTTGCATTTTTCCTCTTCTCAACAGATGATGAAAACTGCCCTCCTGACATATTTGCAGTGGGATTTGAAGAGATGGTTGAACTAAGTGCAGGGAATATTGTGAATGCCAGGTAGGTTAAGAAAATACTGTCCTTACCCCTCCATTCCCAAACCAGCCAGACAAAATCCTCCAGAGCTCTCCTTTGTATACTCAGATGCGTAGAATATCTCTTCCAAATCTGTTGCTTGCAATTATAACTGGAAGTATGTTTGCCATTCATAAATTATAGAATCATTATGGTTGGAAAAGACCCTCAAAATTGAGTCCAACTGTAAACCCATCACCACCACGCCTGCTAAATCATGTCCCTCGTCTACATGTTTCTTGCACACTGCCAGAAATGGTGACTCCACCACTTCCCTAGGCACTCTGTTCCAGTGCTTCACTACTCTTTCTGTGTAAAAACTTTTCCTACATATCACAATATCTAACCTGAACCTTTAAGTCTCTGCTTGGTGTTCCAAAGATGTACTCAGTGTCTATAAACATAATTGGTATTCATGGAGGAATTCTAAAATGAACGAAGTGTCTCTGTGGCTAATTGTATTTCTGCAAATTGTTGCTAGAGAAGGAGTTAAAGGCAAAGTCAGAGGCTAGCTTATCAGTGCATACAGGAGGCTGTGGTATGCACCAGTGTGAAGGAGTAGCTGGGATGGGGAACCCTGAAGATAATGTTTCACATGCTGATCCTTGAGGCTGAGCAGTTGCTTGTCTGTTTTGGGAATGACAAATTATAGTAGTGCTTAGCACAGCTGCTGACCTGGCTGTATACCTGTGTGTGTTCATGGAGTCTGGAGATGGTCTGCAGAAGAGGAGGTGTCTGCACTCACTCACAGGCCTTCAGCTGAGAACAGCAAACAGGTACCACCCCTGGGGTGCAGCTAGTCACTCCTCAGTCAGGGAGGATCTAGTTTGTCTCAGCCACACTGTAAGCAAAAGAAATCTCATAAGTCACAAGATTCATTACAGACTTCTGATTTTAAGGTTATGATTGCTTTGGTCAGCTGCCAGTTACACCTCGTGGATGAGGGTTTTCAAGCTCAGATGACTCTAAGTGGGGTTGCCTCAATACAGTTCATGTGCAGAGGTGGGGTAACTGCACTTGTGTACTGGGCTCACTGCCCCTGCTTTCTCTGGGTTGGCTCACAAGGAGATCCCAGCTCCCTCTGTTGAGCCTCCCTAGCACTCCTGTTCTGGAGTCAGCATGTGCAGAGCCTAATGTGGTGTCCGTAAACCTGGAGCACAGTTACTCTGCTTGTTGTATTGATTGTGTGTGGTTTCTTTGGACTCCAATAAATGATTTTTGTGTTTGTTGCAGTACAACAAATAGAAAAATGTGGGGAGAGCAGCTTCAGAAAGCTATTTCAAGGACTCATCGCTACATTCAGCTGACATCAGCACAGCTCGTTGGTGTTTGTCTTTTCATCTTTGTTCGGCCTTTTCATGTCCCCTTCATCAGGTAAAAAAAAAAATAAAAAAATAAAATAAAATAAAGGAAAGAAAAGAATGCCTCTATCTTCAGTTACAGCAGCTGTTGCAGTGTGTCCAGAGAGGATGGAAGTGATTTTTCAGCTTGGTGGGATTCTGCAAAATGGGGTCCAGTCCCTGTGCTACGCAGGTGAGATGCCTCTCTGGGCAGCAGTAGTTGGGAGACTTGCCTCCAGGGTAGCCTGAGGACCTCGCCTCCAGCTCCCAGAGGAGCCAGGTCTCCGGAGGGATTCAGGTGTCGCACCTTGCTTGGGTGCTGTCTTTGAGTAAAGGAATGACCTGTCTTACCAAGTCCAAGAGTGTCTGAGTACAAACTGCAGGCAAGGGCCCATCTCTGCCTGAAGGGCAGGGCTTGCTTTCTTACCATATACTTACTGTTTTCCTGTAGAAATGGTGGCATCTGTGAATCCAGTTCTTGTTGTTAGTTCTCCCCAAATACTGTCTGTCTCAGATGCCTTATTGCAAGGCAGAGCCTTAAGTACATTCTGGAGATTTGTTTTTGTCTCCTCATAATGCTTTATGAGGAAAAAAATATTAAATATTTGGAGATATTATTCTAGTAATGTTAGCTGTTCTGGCATACTATAATGACCTCCTGTAAGTTCCAAGAGTGGGGCGGAATTTCCCCTCCAGGAATAACTCCAAGGACTCCTCTGAAGAGAGCATTTGTGGTAACTTTGGTAGCGCAGAAGGAGAAAGGCTGTGTCTGTCCCACCAGCTCAGGCCTAAGGTCAGAGACAGGTATCAGCATCTTTCACCACAGTCCAAAATAAATAGGTAACACAGCTGTCCCAGCACAGATATAATATGTTCTCTGGCGCTAGCACTTCCAGGCACATAGTGAAACTGTTTGGTATAAGCAACAGAGTTGGAGATTTTCTTTTCAAGAATATCATCCTATAGAGACAGTAGTAGTAATATAATGTGGAAGTCACTGGTTCCAGACCTGAGAAGAATGGGGGAAAAGGTGGAAGGGCGTGTGGAGAAAGAGGGTTAGAGAGGTAGTTTTGTCCCCTGACATTTTACAGAATTGAGGGGCTGTTAGGCCTCCTTATGTGTTTGCCTCTATCAGATGTCAGGAGAACCATAATTGTGCCTCTGGTTGGGATGATGCAGAGCTGGGCATGATCCTCAGTTTAAGGGTATCACTGTCGCTGGAACCTGACCAAACTCCACCTGCCCTCAGAAGAATCTCATTTGTATTAAAGAGAAACAAAAAGGGAACAAAGCCGCAGGGATCTGTACATTAAAATGCCTTTGTCATGAGCAAGAGTTGGGCAGTCTAAGTGTGAATGAATAGGAAATGAGTAGTTAGCTGAATCGCCCTCCACTCCATACTATGAGACACTGCTCAGCCACTAACTGCATTTTGTGAGCACAGTGTCAAAAACTGCCACCTCCTTCTCACTGAGCTCATACCTACTGAGAAGATCAGTGCAGACCTAATGCAGTATCGAGGCCTATAGACACAGTAATGCAATCCAGATAACCCAGGTGGTCTTGAATTGTTGCATTCTTAGTAATCTTTCTTCAACAGATATTTTAAAATTACAATTTTTGATAGTGTAAAACAGTGCAGAGGAGGAGTGTATCTGTCAGCAATTGACTTTTCACCTGGATTACAAGATTCATGACGAAGAAATCTGAGTAATCCAGCAGGAAGTGCTTGGTTAAGTAGAGATCAAAAGCAGAAGCAGGACAGCACAGGGGCTCCGTTTCAGCAGTCATACTGCTTGGAATCAGAGGTAGCCCCTTGAAAGTCAGGGAAAAGGCAAGAAAGGGTTAGATTACAGTGACTGAGTTTCATTATTTAATGCTAATGCACTGCTACGTGTTATATGAACCCAACCAAATCTAGCCTGCATGTCTGTGTAGTTTTCACCATATCCAAAAAATGAAAACAGAAATTATCAGAAATGCAAAAAGAATGACCTATTCACAGAAATTTAGGGCAGAAGTTAGAGAGGAGAAAGAAAATGAGAAAAAGAAGGATCAAGGAGATACAAGCAGTAGAATGTACAGCCGTTTATCTCAGCATAAACTTTCCCATGGAAAGAAATTAGGTAAATACCAGCCAGCAGCTGGATAGGCAGCAGGAAAAGAGAAATCCTGCAAGTGAAAAGACTGACTACGTGCTTGTTTTCAGAGCAATTGAAGCCTTTATTTTCATAAAACACATTGATGGTCCACTTAGCCTCCCTTTACATTTGAGGGTGTCCTTTCCGGTGGTTTCCTGCAGTCGGGAAAGGAAAATAGCACAACTTGGAGGACCTTCCAATCGCATTCTGATGGTCAGCATCTGACACAAAGGAAAGACTTGATGTTTTTCTCCCTGCTGCTTGCTTAAAGCCAGTAATGTTCTAGTGCAGATCTACTTGGCTTCTATTTGGAAAGTAAAATTTCCTTGTTGTGAAGGACATACATGATGTTGGGGTTGACATCAGCTGATTGAAAAATTCAACATCCAGTATGAATTTGAGTTTCAAGACATAGTAGCGCCACTTAAGTTGATAGATGTCTGAAAATATAGATTCTTCTGTGGTCAAAAGTAAAAGGGAATGTAACAGTAAAATTAATTATTGTAACAGCTTTAAAGATCATGGTAAACTTGCTATATATATGTATTATATAGAAATTACCGGTATTTCAGAAATAATACCTTGTTTATATTGTATGGGAGGGACAAGGAGAGGAAAATAATCTTGATTAGTTTTAATTCTTTATTATTGTGTTATTATACTTCATGTGAAATATGTGTACATGGTCAAGAAACTTTACAACCCAGTTGGTGTACTTAGCAAAAGCAAGCTCCATGTCCATGCATCAGTTCATGGAGGGGAAGGGACATGGCACTATAAATAACAGGATTTTTCTTTCCATATCACTGTCAAAGTCAATTAAATGTTTGTCCTTGTAGCCCTTTACACTCTCTCTCTCTCTCTCTCTTTACACAGGGATGTAGCAATAGACACAGTGAAGACCGGAATGGGAGGAAAAGCTGGAAATAAAGGGGCAGTGAGCATCCGATTTCAGTTCTACAGTACCAGTTTCTGCTTCATATGCAGTCACTTAACAGCTGGGCAGACCCAGGTGAAGGAGAGGAATGAAGATTATAAAGAAATCACACAGAAACTCAGCTTTCCAATGGTAAGCAAGGATTTTCCAACAGTAAGCTGCAAACATTGCTACTGGGAGGTAAAGGCTGCGTAGGCTGACAGGTAGGTCACCAAAGGAGTTAGCTCAGTGCCATGGAGAAGGAGCATAAAAGAAAGTAAGCAGAAAGAAGTAGTAAGCAAAGTGGAAACCAAACAAAATGGAAAATATGACACAGGAAACCCAGATGACACTTAAAGCTTTACAGAAATTCTACAGCTTTCAAAAATATATAGGTGCTGCCAGTGCTTAAAGCTCTGGCCTTGAGCAGGTTGATCTTTGGGCAGTTGATCTTTCAGGGTGATCCTCCTTAATTGACATTAAATAGATTGAGGCCTCGTGGATGAGATCTAGGTGGCTGGTGTTACAGCTAAAGAACACACCAATAGCTCTTGCTTGTAGTAGTTAGTAAGGGCTCCTAAAAGACCATCCCTGCAGCTCACTCTCCATCAGTGTTTTGGCTGTCCCCTGCTCACGTATGATGAGCTGTTCTTGGTTGCAGCTATTGTAGTTTTTGCTCCCATCATTTCGTGCGCATGAGCATGTCACTGGCAAGGAAGGGCTGGCTTTTCGCATTGTAGCAAGTACAGATAGTTTGTATGAATAACTTTTTCTCTGAACGTATCAAATCAACTGCCTTAGTGCTTTTATTTCATACCTGTCTCCTCAGGCCAGCGAGTAGCCTGTGGGGTTTGGTGGCTGTGCTTTTTGCTTCCCTTAATAATTGTTCATTGCTTTAATTTCTGTAGCTGCTCTTTCATAGACCTCCCAGGAGAGGTCCTAAACCAGGGAGGGAATGGACCAGTTTGTGTGTTCTGTTTAGTCAGCAAAATATGACATTCACGTTGCAAAGCGTAAAATTTAACTCCCTGTTGTTTGCAATGTTTAGAGGCCTGACACATGCAGCATATTAATCAGTTGTGTTTAATGTAAGAAATAATGCTGACAGTCTGGAAGTCCTGCCTAGAATATGTGTGCTAAATGGCCATAAAGTCGTGCTTATGGTCGTCTTTCCCTCTAAAACCTCATTAACCACTTTATGTCCCCAGCACTTGTAATAGCTCTCTGTACCTTGGCCATGTGTGTAAGACGTATAGAGAGTGCCCTCTAGAGCAGTGTTAGCTTCAGCTCTGCAGTATAGCTTTCATGAATCCCTGGGTTTTGGCTGAAAAAAGACTGCTTAGGAGATAGCATGTTAAATGTAGCAGTGGACTGAATTTTTACTGATACTTTGTTTCAGTCGTTTATGGAACTGTGACACATGCAAATAAAGGCAAATCTTAGTTTGATGTTACTTAAGACCTCTGCTGCTGAATGCCTTGGCACCAGGAACATTTTCTGTTCTATTTAGAATATCTAAGTATTTATTTCTGAAATGTGTTAGGAAAACAGTTTTTTTAAATATTCATGATAGCCAAATTGTGAATTTAAAACTGTAGTCCCACTTAATGCATTCTTTGAGAAAACAGAGACTAGCATCTGTTAATCTCGTTTACAAAATTCAGCTCAGTGCCATGTGAAAGGTGATGAAGAAACTATTTCTTTTTAGCAAGAGTTGGATTTTAACAAACAGAATATGTCAGATAAATCCATACTTAGAATTTCAAAGAAATTGAGTGTACATTTTCATGCATTTAAAATTTGGGCGTTTGAATGTGGTTTAGAATATTCTGTACCTCCAACTAGGGGCGGAACGTGTTCTCACATGACTACGTCTTCTGGTGTGGCGATTTTAACTATCGTATTGATCTAACGTATGAAGAAGTCTTTTATTTTCTTAAACGGCAAGATTGGAAAACACTTCTGGAATTTGATCAATTACAACAGCAAAAATCCAGTGGAAAAGTAAGGTGTTTTTTCCCTTTTACATATGCTTTGAAAATGGAAAATGATGCCTTGGTCTAGTTCCTTGAGAGAGTGAAAATGGGCATTTTCAGATCAGTGTTTGCAGTATGTGAATGTATTGATTTGTTTAAAAAACAGAATGTTACTCATGTTTAAGAAAGCCAGCATATTACAATGCCATCTACATCATCTATAACTTAATCAAAAGATGGTATCTCTTTTCATAGATTTTTAAAGACTTTCATGAAGGGACTATTAATTTTGGACCAACATATAAATATGATGTTGGCTCAGAGGCGTACGATACAAGCGATAAGTGCAGAACCCCAGCCTGGACTGACAGAGTGCTTTGGTGGAGAAAAAAGCTTCCATTTGAAAAAACAGGTGCGTGTGGTTTTTCCCTCTTCTTTTTTGCAGCTATAGGCTAGAGGACAATTTGCTTTCTAAGAATAAAGGGTATCCCCAGTGAATGCTATATTCCCTGCTAACTCATTTTCAACTCTATAGACTTATTCATTAGCCCAAACAGTGGTCTAGAAATTTTTCTGGCGCTGACGGCAATATAATATCTTAATCTAGCATAAAGTCCGGAGCACTTACTGTTACTTTCTTGCATTGCAAAGGAAGTGTTTGGAGTTGCATAGGACTGCCTTTCTCATTTCTTCACTCCCTGTGTTTTATTTAGAAATACAGTGTAGTTCACAAGTACTGTGTCTGAGTAGAGCAGTACAAAAAATATTATTTTATCACCCTAGACAATGTAGATCACTGACTGGGTGACCCTCATGTTGTGATTTTATATCTGTTTTATTCTAGTGATCAGATGTCTCTGTTCTCCCATATTCCATGTTTCCCCAGACTTCTATGTGTTTTATGTTACAAGCTGTATATATGGGAACAATTTAAAAACAAATCTCTGTGAACTGCATTATAATAAAACAGCTTTTAATTATTATTAAGAGTGAGTTCAAAATGATGTTTTCTTCTGAATAGCTGGAGAGATCAATCTTCTGGACAACGATCTGAATACAGACATGAAAGTCAGGCACACCTGGACCCCTGGAGCCCTGATGTACTACGGGAGAGCAGAGCTGCAGGCATCTGACCACAGGTAAAGCCCTAGGCAAATCACAGAGGGTTTACCTCTAGGTTTGCATGTGTCACAGAGCTGCACCTTTAGAGTCAGAAATCAAGTCTGATAGTAACATAAGGGATATAGGCTAGTTCTTCATTCAGTGTTTTGGTGGGTTGTTTGTTTGTTTTGTTTTGTTTTCATTCTGCTACTTTGTACCTCAGCAAGGGTTGGATAGGTTGCAGCAAACTGAGGGCTTTCTATTGCTTGGTTTTGGAAAGTCCTGGTACCAAACCAAGCTGCTTTGACAGACTCCCACTCAGCTTGCTATGAGAGGAGGAAGGAGAGACCTACGGACAAATGGACACATATGGACTGTGTGGCTTGAAAAGAACTAAGTCATGTACATAGGGCCCAGTGTGACCTTTTCAGAGTAGTAAAGTGTTAACCTACTAGGCTTTTCTTAGAAACAAGAGTAGGAGAACGGAGAAAAATCAAAAACCATTGCCTCTGGCTAGTCTTTATCATTAGCTTGTTTTTAGGGAATATGAACAACTTTTCATTGCTAAGGTTTCGTCGCTGCCTCACTTCTCTGAAACAAATTCTGTAATAAATACACCAAGGAAGCCCCCTTTCCTTTAGAATCATCTTTGTCACAGCCCTCGCATGCCCTCCCGACATGCTCTAGTATCATTTTTCACAGCCGAGTGGGGTGAGTCTCAGCAGCTGACATGCTCTTATACTGAGTCTCAGCAGCTGATGTGCTTTCACATGTGAGGACTGCTCTGGGGTCTTCCAGCCAGAGGAACGAACATGCCTCTCATGAGCAGTTTCTCCATGCCAGGGCTTTGACACCACTGTGATCTGCAAAGCGTGCTCGTTCTGTAAAGGAGCCTGAGGATGCAACGTGGCTGTTGTACATTGACTTTCAATTTCAGGAAACATGACTTCAAAAAAAGGCTTTTTAATTATAGTCAGAGAATTTACTTTCCCGAGGCATGTGCTGGAAAAACGTCTTAGCTGGATCTTTCTGACATGGAAATGCATTATGATTGGCAGTACTTTTTGAAATTTTAATGTTTCCCGTATAAAATTTGGTTGCATTTTTTTCCTATTATTGCTTTCTGGCTTAGCTGCTGTGCTAAATCTTCTAGTAATGCATATTCCAAAGCCTGCTATTGCAAGTGGAAGGCAGCAATTTTTTAAGTAGTTAGAAGAGTTGCCATTCCAGTTATCACTCTGCATCTATTTGCAGGTAGAATCCTGAGAAAGGAGATTGCATCCACAGAGACAATACAAATGTTGCTCTTTCAGATAGCTTTGCTAGATATATTAAGATCTAACACACACACACAGAGGTAATCTGTAAGAAATGGCCCAATAAGCAGGTTTTCAGTGTTGCTTATAACGTTACAGATTGGCGTATGTTTGCTACATAACCACATTATGCACTTAGAGGACTTTAGTGTTTGTCCTTAGAGTTTGGAAGACAGACATCTTAGAAAGACATCAAGGCTACAGCTTTGAGTTACATTCAACAGAAAATAATGTACTGCCTTCCTGCTGTATGGGAGGTTTGGGAGACAGCTGTTTAATGAGTGAAGTTTTCTGGTACCTTTAACTTGCAGTTTGGTCAGAAGTCCTACACACAATTGTTATTTGGACTCTTCTGTGGTGTGTCCTCAGTGTTGCATCCAGTTAGGGCAGGAGTGGTAAATACAATAGATAGCGCTCAAGGCATGATCTTCCACTGCAGGAAAAATGAAACAATCCATTTGAGTGAGAACCAGCCACAGTACTTCCTTGCTGTAAGACATTAAGTACTTTGCTCAGACTCTCTTTCTATGTAGAATGTATAATAATTACCTCCTTTTAAGTTGTTATCAGGCTTAATTAAAACATTTGCAGTGAGCTTTGACATTGTGGAGTTAAAAGTGATGTAGATGCACAGAGTTTAATGATAAAATGTTCGTCACTCACAACTAAACTCTTGCCTGCGTATTGCCTGACACTGTTTTTTTTCCTATTAGAAAAATCCCAAGTAGGTATAGGAGGCTTTCTATTGCTTGATGTTATTTTTGATTTTAAATAAGCATTTCTCCTTTGTCTTATGCAGACCTGTGTTAGCTATTGTAGAAGTAGAGGTTCAGGAAGTCAATGAAGCCGCCCGTGAGAGCGTTTTCCAGGAAGTTTCATCTTTCCAGGGACCCCTGGATGCCACAGTAGTGGTAAATCTGCTGTCACCTGTGCCTGAAGAGAAAAACGAATTTCCTGAGGACTTGCGTACAGAGCTTATGCAAATGTTTGAGGATTACGGCACTGTTGTTCTGGTCAGGTAAATGTGGAATCAGCGATACCTCTCATCTATTTACACATAATAGAGACTAGAGGTTCCCTTTTTGTACTCACAGAGTTAATTTTATAATTGATAGTTATGTTTATTGCCTTTATTGCATGTTGAATTCTTCATTAGAAACTGAATATGTGTATTTTGAATATCTTTTACCTCTTGTCACCTTATTAAAAAAACAATCTAACAGCTCTCTCGGTTGAGAGGAAGAGAATTTTATTAAATCCAGCATCAGAGAGCAGAGGTTTCAGGGTGAATCCTCCTCTGCAGATTTAGATCTCATTTATGTGTGTGCAATTCCTTCTGCTCGCAGTTCCTCCGGCTCTGCTTCACTTCCTCTGAGAAGATCTGCTCTCTTCTGATGCTCTTTCACACTCAGTAGGATTTCCTATCTGGCACTCGTTTCTTTTGGGAGCTCTTTTGCTTATTTTTAAAAAATACATCGTCTTGCAGTTTCAGCGCCTACTGAGTTTGCAAGGGAGGGTTTGATTGTACCTTCTGGCAGAGCAGTTTAATTTCCTTCCAGGTGATTCTGCGCAGGGCTGCAGCGCAGCTGAGTCTTCTATTTGAGAGATACAGGCAAAGCTGGCCAAGGTCTGACTGATAACAGCGACCTGGGAAACAAGACCATAAAATTGATGTTTTATTTAATGCTTTTGTTATGGGAAGCAGGTGACCTGTTGTTTGGTATTATAAAGTGCCAAATATAAGTCAAGGATTCAAAAGTAGCCCTACGGGAAGACTAGTACCACCTCATGCATGAAGCAAAGGAGCAAGAAAAGATGATGCTTTGGGGCTTTTTTTTTTTTTTTTGTATTTCTTTACAGCTCAGTGTTATTGCAGTCTTTTGGGAAGTCCCTCTCCTGTCCTTTGAGGGTAGGGAAGCCTATAGCTAAAGAACTCGGTGCAGAGTAAATGTGGGTGGCAGACTAAATATCCTGTAAAGCCCTGCTGAGATGTTTATACCGGGGCTTTGGGGCACCCCAGTAACGGGCATGGTGCTGGAGTCACGCAACAGGGGGCTGGATGGAGGCGGATGTGGGTCCAGTGGCAAGAAACAGGGGCTAAAAGCTCATAGCAATTTTAAGCCAATTACTAAAAGCCAATAGCAATTTTATTGGGGTACAACCTCATACTTTTATAAGCAAACAATGCAGTACATGTGTCTTACATGTGCCCCGATAGCCCATCCAGCCTCGTCCAAGACTTGCATAACTTGAGATATCCAATCACAGAAAAGGTCAGCTTAAACTTGTTCTTGTGTGTAGTCAGCAAGCCGCATCTGGCTTGAGCCAGATTCAGTTGGTTCTTGTTTTTGGCAGTTGGTACCTTTTGCCCATTTGCCCTTTTCGCTACAGAAGGGGAGAGCCCAGCTGTGATTTTTAACCACCTCTTCTTCACAAGAATATACAGTTGTAAGAAAAACACAGCTAAAACCAAATATGGAGCTGTACAAAACTACTATGGTCACCTTTAGGCCTGTTATTCACTTGCAGAGTAAAATGCAGTTTTCTTTCCTCTACCTGCTTTTTACTAGGATCAGTGGGGGTCAAATGCTGGTGACATTTGCAGAGAGCAAGTCAGCTCTTCGCGTAATGGATATAGATGGTATCAAGGTAAGACTATTTCAAATCTATTATAGTAATTTCATTCCAAATTTCTCAGAAGGGGTTGCTTAAAATCAGATACTCATGTTTCTAGCTAAATCAGTAGCATTATCTTAAAGAAAGCCAGTGCTCACCAAGTCCTTGGCTCTCACAGCCTTTGGGGCTTTTAATGGAGGGCAGGAGCTGATTTTTCTTGAAGCTATTGAGCAGTGCCTAGGCCGTGGCCTTGGGATATCACTGCAGGATACGCACACTTGGTCAATGCACTGATACTTTAAGCGATTCTCTAGAGATGATGCTTGACTTTATACTGTTGCCAAAGCATCCTCACAATTATCTTTTAGAGTTTTTTGTTTTTCTTAAGTGTACCAAATAAACTCTTTCTACCAAGCTGGAACAATATGATACATTGGCTTCCAAGGCAAAGTCACGTTAGAATTAGGATTTACCTTCCCCCGCCCTGCTTCTCCTTCCCACACACAAACGCTACAATTCATCAGCCCCCTCCTTTATGCTGACAAAAATGTTTGTGCAGTTGTACTGTAAACAGCACAGAAGTAAAGGATTTAACCTCAGCACTCCTGTGTTTGGAGTTTTATCTTTAGTTTGCCTCATGCCATTGATCTAATTCATAGCATAGACCCAAGCACACTAGTATGGGCGCAATTCAAGGGACTGGGAATTAGAGTCAGGAATTTTGACTGCTGAGCTGCTTTCTTTGGTACATCTCACCTGAAATGTCACAGAGCAACATATATAAGCAGCTGTGGTCCGAGTTTGCTCAATAATATAATTCCTATGTAGGTCAACAATCATATTTCGTTGGGATTATCTGAACAGAGGGCTTCCTTACAGATGGCAGTGAGTAGTAAGTTCAAGTGTATTTTTAAAAAAAGCCTCTGACTCATACTGGGCCCTTCCCATCCTGTTGTTATGATCATAATGTCAATTTGATGATATCTGATGTTTCACCATACTTCTCACGTAATTCCTAAATGTAGCTGCAAGGTTTCTGAGCTGCGAAGCTAATGTTTCTTCCTAGAATATTGTTACAGTCTGAAGACTTGATTCAGATTTAGGTTCTTGGAGGCAGAAAATGTGCTTCCTTTAACTTCTGAAATGAAGCTTTAGTTGCAACAGTTTCTGAAGTAATTCAACTGTAGGTCGGCAGCACTCACTTATTCTGCTGAGGTATTTTCATTTTATTGAAGTTGCCTGCAAAGGAAAAATAATTCTTTTTTGATGCTAGGTTAGAGGCAGAACGGTGAAGATTCGGCCCAAGACCAAGGACTGGCTGAAAGGCTTTCAGGAGGAAATTGCTCGGAAGCGGGACAGCATTGCCCCTATGTCACCCACAGCTAACTCCTGTCTACTGGAAGAAAATTTTGATTTCTCAACTTTGGACTATGACTCGGAAGGTGAGCAGCAGGTTTCTAAGCTAAGCTGTGAGAAGTTAGTTCACTGACTTGGGTTGCACAAAGAAGGCACAATATGAGTGTGATTCATATCCTAGTTTGTAATGAAACCACAGCTCTTAGAGAGAGCATTGTAACTAAAGCCCTGGCCCACTAGCATGCCTGTGCAGAGAACTATTGATTAGATTATTGTATCAATTCAGAATTATAAAATACGTTACCAAATCTAATGCATATTACAGTACACAAACTGCAATGAAAACGGAGATTATACAAGAAGCTTGCTGAAAACAGACAGTAAATTATTTCTCTGGTTGTAGGAAGAGAATGCATTTGCTCACAGTCTGTTACCTAATATTTTATTTCAGGTGATATAGTGGAGGATGAGGATGACTATTTAGACGATGCTTTGAGTCAGCACCTAGTGGCAGACACAACAGATGATTTGCCTGATGCATCTGGGCATTTTCCATCCACAGCACTTTCAAACAAACCTCCATTGCTTCCTGCACAAAAATCACGGCAATATAAAGGTAGATTTGTGTACGTTTTTTAGAGTGAGACCTGAAGGCTTTTTGTTTGTTCTCCCTTTGTCTGTATTTCCCTGTTTATATTCTGATTGTGAGTTCTTCAAAGTTTGGGATCATCTTTTTGATACATGTTCATACAGTGCTGTCTTTCTGCTAATCGTTTGTTGATAGTGCTCTCTCGGAAGTGCTTTGTCTCCTGACATAAAAATGAGAACTTCTAATACCTTCAAAGGTTGAATCAAAAATAGAGTTCATAAAGATTAAATGAAATTCATAAATTCTTACAGATAGATTTTTCCAAACAACCATGGTGATATACAGGTTTCTTACCTACGTTAAGTCCCGTGCTGAGTGCAACTTGGCTTGACCTAGAAAACTAACCCAGAGCCACAGAGCGGTCTGTGATTATTAAATACTGTGAAACCAATCACTTTGTGTTGCAAGATGTCTTGTTCGCCAAACACCTCTGGCCTCCTATGTGATGATTCATTAAACTAGAGAGAATTGCAGTGATTCTTTTCACCTACACTATCTCTTCTCCACAAAAAAAATCACATAGTGAATAGAAACTATAAAGAATACTTTGGAGTAGGTCAAGAGGGATTTATGATCTCACATAAGCCAAAGTATGTTATATTCAGCCTAGCTTGAAAATCCCTGCAGTTTCAGATGCTTCCATGACCTTCCAGTTCTGCCTGAGTAACTCCTAATTGCGGGAATGATAATTGTATGGCTGGTGTTGGACACAAATGGAAACCAAGGGCAGGAGCACCATGGTGTTTTTGAGATGAGAGAAGGACACAGTGCTTGTAAAACGGATGTCCCTTGGAGCCGCTGCCAAAACACAGCAGCCCGTTAGGGGAACGGGTAGTGGTTGACTTTTGTCTCGCCCTCAGCACTGCTGCCAGAAGTTCAGACTGTGTTTGGGTGCCTGCGTAACTCCCTGGCTCCTGCTGATGAGCCATGTCTGCAGCTTAGGAGTTCTGCAGATGCAGAGAGAAGGAAGGGGGAGGGTTGCAGCCCAGTCTCTCCGCAGGCCCATCCAAAGCTGAGTGGGTGGAGGAAATGGTGAGGCAGCACGGTCTTCCCTGCAGATCACAGCTCTCAGGAAAACAGGAACTTGCTTAAAAATGCCTAACATCTGAGAGACTGTTGCTGCTTAACTCTTTCCACATCCTCTCCAAAGCACAGGGACAAAACTAAATCAAATGGATTTGGGAGTCCAGAAGGACATAGCTCCCATGGCTGGGAGAACCGAAGGGAAAGCTCTCCCCTCAGCAGGAGTCACTGGACTCCTACCTGTGCAGCTCCCAGGGAAGGGCAGCCAGGATTAAGGAGGAATATTAGGCAACTCTTTTAAGGTGCAGCTCAGGACTATCAGTTTAAAGGCATTGCTGGAAAGCACAGGTGTGACGAGTGAGTTACGACAAATTCTGGCATAAAAATAATCTTTGTGAACAAGGCAAACTGGCTCATCCTCTGAGGGAATTTCTGCCTTCAGGAAGGAAGAACAAGTGATTGACCATGATTAGTCTCCTTGCGGTTGTCATGTCACAGATTGCTTGATAGCAGGTTGCTGCCACATCTCTCTGTGCAAAGTTCACAGTCTAACAAGGTGACTAGTAACCCTGGAATCAGATGCAGGCAGTCTCTGTTTCATGAGCAATTAATAAATGCTGGAAAGGGGGGGAGAGGGAGAGAGGGTAGAGGGAGGAGAGGGAGACATGTCATTGCTCTGACATGTCTGGTTCAGGTTTCCCATTCATAGTTGCCTCTCTCCTGAGTACTCAGCTCCAGTGATTAGTACACAGTACACAGCTCTTGCAGTGATTACCTAATATTGCCTCTCTCCTGAGTACTCAGCTCCAGGCCATCTCTTGCAGTGATTACCTAATACAGATACTCTCTAAAATCCCTGTAGATGACACAGACCTGGCTGACCTGAAGCAGGAGCTGGAAGCAAGCAGGGACTGCCACCCGCGCTCTCCAAGCAGATCTCTCTCTGTTCCTAACAGACCTCGGCCACTCCAGCCTCCACAGAGGCCTCCCCCTCCTGGTGAGATTAATTTTTTGTGTTGCTGGACATGGTTGTCCCCCGCTCTCCTCTGCCCGCCCACTACTTCCATGTGACAAAGTAGCACCTTGCTCTGACCTGTCAGGCTCTTGGTGTGTTTGTTTTTGCTTCCCAGTCTGCTTCAGTCTGACTGTGGCTGCAGTTAGCAATGGAGCAGTTTTGTCCTTAGGATGACAAGTACTCCATGAAGGAATGCTCTGTGCCTTAGTGAGGATGTAACGGTCCATATGTTTTGTACTAACTCATCGCTCAATCTAGCAAGTGTGGCAATGAAAAATAAATACCTGTATTTATGGCTGTTGACTTTTAAAGTCACTGAGCATTGCGAATGGTTTCTTTGTTTCTGATTTATTTGTAATATGTTTTTAAGCTTTGGCCGAATACATAATCATTTTGGCCTTCTTCATGACTCAAGCCATGCAGCACGTTGGTTTTTTTTCACAGCCAAAAATATCCTGTCTACATATTTTCTAGCTGTAACTTAGAGCTTCCATCAGACTTGCTGCTGAAACATGAGCTCTTCAGTGTTATTCATTTTTGAGTCTGTTGCCCAGAAGTGAGAACACTGACATCTGTATTTTTGTGCCTGAAATGCAATGTTAATACTTGGCTGAGATTATTACATTAATTAAAGAGATGAACTAGGAAACTGCTTCCTGAAACAGTTTCAGCATTTTATTCTGTGCTGAGATTTTATAACCCAAAAGGAGGAGCCTAGAGTAGAACAGTAACAGTCCATTCCAACACACCGCCTACATCCAACTGCCTTGTCTTTAACGCAGGCAGTGGGGGCTCAGGATCCCTGGTGTCCCCCAGGAAGGTTCTGTATGGTGTGTCTATCCTCCTGTGGAGCAGAGAGGGTGAGAGCGCGTCTTTGTTAAGCACAAGGACTTTCACGGGGTATCAGTTTTGCTGTGTTGTTGATAAGATGCTGTACCAGGTCTTTAATGTAAAACAAACAAACAAACAAAAAAACAAAAATAAACATTTTTTTCCCTCCCTCTTTCAGCTGGAACATCAGGCAAAAAGTCCCCTTCAGAGGGTTCCCTCTCTCCAGGAAGCCAGCCTGCCTGCTCCATCCTGGCAACAGCAAAGCTGCTACCTGGAGCCCCTCAGCAACCTGTGAGTCCTTCTGCTCCATGTGGGCACTTGGTATTATGTGGCCTCCCCCATCCACACAGACTCTGAACCTCACATTCATGATGTGCCCATCAGTCAAAGAAGGAAGTCTGCTCCATGCCCGAGCTGAAAATCCTGGGTGTCCTGTGATACTGGACTCTAGGGCCAGGTGGGCTCTGGAAAACTTAGCACCAAACTGCCAGGACCCAGAAAGACCAAAGAGACAGAGAAAGAATGCAGCAAGGCCAAGACACTATTGCTTTATTTCATGTGTTGCTTTCTGAGGGATGCTATCTTGAATTTTCAGTAACATGCGAAAATGGTTTAATTCTTTACTCTCCTTCACTGGCCACATCAGTGCCCAGCATTCAGGCAGGATCTTGATCCTTGCTGTAGGGCTGCTAGCAGTCCCAGCAGGGAAGTCAAGACGTGAATGTGAAATATTCCCCGTCCCCTCACCTTAGGTGAGACCTCTACCGCATGGAACAAAGTGGGATGGCTGCTGGGCTGGTCATGGCAGCGAGCCCCCTGCTTGTCATCTCAGACAGTAGCCAAGATCTAATAGCTGTCAAAATCCCCCCTTACTGCTGTTTCTGCAGTGTTTAGAGGTGACTGAGTGGCCACCAACCAAACCAGGATATTGCTGGAATGGTGTGTGAACTTAGCTGTAAGATTATAGGTATACAAGAAAAAAAAGTTTGCTTGTTTTTTGTTTTTTAAAGCCTAAAGTCCGGACTGGAATAAGCAAACCTTACAATGTTAAGCAGATCAAAACCACTACGGCTGAGGAAGCAAAAGAAGCTATTAGATGTCTTATGGAAGCCAAAGGAGGTGAGCACAATTTCTAATGGACTTTTAAAATCTTTATTTAAAGAAAACTGCATCCTTCCCCTATCACAGCCCAGATGCACTTATTTCTGTTCAGAAGCTCAGCTAAACACTGACATGTACATTCTTGTAAGAGTATAATTAGTGTTTTCTGTCATTTTTGATAATATTAGCTTACAGATTTTGTTGTAGAATGAGTTACTACGGACACTTTGTGTTATTGATGTCCAGATTTAGTCTGAAAAATTACAAGATACAGGTGGACTCTTCCTCAAATCATATTGGCCACATTACCTCAGAACTGTATCTGCTTACATTTGCATAAAATGTATTTTTTTCTGTTTAGTGAATGTTCACTCCTGCAAGCAGAACTGCAGAGCAATACAGCTGTGGGGAAAATAACCTGGATTCTGTTCAGATTTATACAGCAAATATAGTGCCTACCTACATAAGGGTTCAAACCACCTACTTAACCTTGAATATATAAGGTAAAAGATGACTCTGTCCATAGGCTTTCCATCTATTCCATGGAGAGAAGAGAGCAAATATAGTGCCTACCTACATAAGGCTTAGACCATCTAGTTAACCTTGAATATGTAAGGTAAAAGATGACTCTGTTCATAGGCTTTCCATCTGTTCCATGGAGAGAAGATAGTCTTTCAAAACAAGTTAGAGCAGGAAACTAGCTTAAGTACTGAAACTTAGGCAGTGTGAATATCCCCTCCAGGGTTGCAAGTTGCCTTTTGCTGATGCTGTGTAAACGAGAAAGTGTGCGATAGGACTTGGATTCCTTCCTGAGTTTACAAGCCCCTCAGTTTAGGAGAAAAACGTCTCTCTCCGTTTGTAAATAGAGCAAATGTGGTCTGGAATTGGTAATGTAAATACCATAAAATATTATTTGAAACATTTTGATTGATGTTTGTTCCTCAGAGGACGAGCATAGTGCACTTGTTTTTAAAATGAGCTATACTTTCCCATATTTTTTTCTGATTATTCTGGTCAGGTTCACTTTCAAACCCTTGCGCTGTACTCTAAGGTGGCATTTACAGTTCCTCCCCAAGTACCCTGCAGGAGGAGCTTAATATCGTTATCTGCTTTGTCCAGGTGAGGCAACCAGGCAGCTCTGGACTCGAGTACTTGTGTACCTCCAGTCAGTGTCTTATTTGCTGGGCCAAATGGTGGCTCATTGCTGCAGTGTGAAGTACTCCAAATAGAGATTTTTTTTTTTCCGTATTCCCTTTAGATATACACGTTTTGGAAAACACTATCATGAAAGAAATTGGTCTCTGCTACATTTCTGGTCAAGATGAGACACTAATTGTTTTTACTTTCCAGGGTTACATGAAGATGCACTAAAGTCTGCTCCAGCCAGAAACCAAACATTCACTAAACCTGAACCTCCTCCCAGCATCACAAAATCACCACCCTTTCACAAACCTCAGGCAGAACCAGTGCTCGTGCCCCACCGCCCACCACCCAAAGTTCCAACTACAAAGAAGCTGCCAGTACCCCTGCAAAGGACTGGAGTCAGGGTGGAAAACGTAAGAAAGAGAGTTGCAGTGAATGCATCTCAGCTTCATTGCGCTGTGTGGACATCAGCAAAAGGGTGGGCTGCTAAACAGCTCGTGTCAAGTTGTGTGTTGCAGTCCTTGAAGCATAAAAACATACTAACCCATCAGGAAAGGAAGTGGTTTGTAGAGCAGCATGACATACTTCAGTAAAGTTGTCACTAAATTGAGCCACCCTTAGTTAGCTCTTCTGTTTGTCCGTCCATCCTTTTAGGTTGTGTTGTTGTTCTGGTTTGTCTGTACCTTGTCAGGGTAGGTGGAACTGCCTTGTGTCTGATACTCAGCTGCTGCTTATCACCAAATTGCATCCATTTCCTGTAGGAGGAAGTCACCATAAAATGCTGTTTCATTCGGGAGCCACCCTCCCCACACTGCTTTCCATCTTTCTGTATTTCTGCTGTTTACTACGAAGCATCAGAATTATCTCCATAACAGCTATATCTAGATTTTCTAGGAAAATCAGGAAGAAAAACTTTCTCTTGCTAGACAGAAATTTAATATTTGAGTCAAGCTCTAGTTCTGTGGGGTTTTTACATAGGAAAAAAAATCAGTTACAACAAAATTTCTATCCTAAAAATACTTCTCTTTGACTCATGCAGATTTTTGATTCAAAAAGTGGAATGATTTTGCTAATTCAGAGGAGAATGACAAATTCATAATAGTGATGGGTGAGAGATCTGAAAGTTAAAGTAAAATACTACTTGCTTCAAATATAATGCCTAGAAAACACTTCCCAGAGGGAAGGCTGTACTAGCTGTGACGAGAGCTGTGACGATTCTAACTGGAAATGCAGAAATAAATCTCCATTTAGCTGCCCCTACTTTGAAGACAGACAAAAATAAATACAAAAAAGAGTTTCCTCCATATGAGGAGTACTTTGCTCTATTGAGCTGAGGCAGCTTCTTGATTCATATGCTGGTTTGGGTCCTGTTCAGAGACATCTAAGGGTTTTTTTACACACTTTATAATGGCATTTACCTTTCACTTAGGGCTTTGGATTCTACTTGAGTACAGGTGCATAAAAATACCAACCTGTAGGTGTTGTATTTTTAATCTGTCTTTGCGTCAGGTCTCTACCATGGAGATAATAACTCTTCACCTCCTAGAGCTGCCAAAATAATGATTTAATGGTGAAAGCAGTTTGAGAGGGGCAAATAAAACCTTTTAAGTAAGTTCTTCCTTTCTTATAGCTTCTTCTAGAACGCTCATTCCTAAGTCATCAGGACTCCTGTTTTACCTTTCTTTGTGGAGGCATCCAGACCTTCTCTATAGTGGAGTTTGTGCAATTTCTATTGAGCAGAATCACAAAAGACAACACAAACATACCAGCATGTGCCCTTTCCTTAAACTTTCACTAACAAGGAAGGGCCAGTTTATTTCACTGTTAACTTCTCCCCCTGCCCAGGGCACTCCTGGAAAGTGCAGCTGGTATTTGGGTGTCAGCTGTGTGAAATCATCTGCAGAAATTTATCATTTCAGCTCAACTCGTTCAGTGTTCCACTCCCTTCAGCCATCCCTGTGAGTTAGGTGGGAGCTGTGACTTAAAAGCCTCTGTCCAATCCACCTCTCACCTCGAGAAAGGCCTGCAGTCAACTGCAGGCAACCTAAGATGGGCATATAGACAGAAACAGCAGAAGATATGTTATTATGAAATACAGACTAAGTTTAGAAGTCTGGATATTATCTTTAATATTGTGGCAGACCAATGAAGAATTAAACGCTTTCATTCTGCAGAAGAGAGTGAGAAATCCGAAGCAGTCTGTGCCCTCGTGGACTAATCTGGGCTCCAGCTATTTGTGTATTTTTAAATAGAGGATATATGCTGAATTCCACATGCAGTTTATTTTTAGCTTCAATCCCTAGCGCTGCTGAGACAGGACAGAACCATTAATGCATTTCTTGGGTTTAGGTTAATCTGATTGTCCCTCAACCATATGTATCACGGGACACCCAAAGCCGTGTGCTAACAGGCCCATAGTTTAGTCCTCCCTGTGCCCTCTTGCTTATGTTTTATTACAGTCAGCAGAGAGATGTAACAAGAAAGACTCTTCGGGACTATGTTGATTAGGACCCTGAGCAAAGTCGTAGGATGCAAGAGAGCTGGTCAGAGGAGCTGCCCGCTGTCCGCAGGGGGTGAGCGGGCCCTAGGCTCCCTGCCCTGCACTGCAGCCTGTAGATGGATACCAGGCCGGGGCACGCGCGCACAAACAGAAAGCAGTGTTTCTGGTGTAGTTTGCAGCTGCATTGTCAGGCCTCCTCTTTGCACTGGTACTATTATTTTTCTTGGAACTCACAGCTGTTCTCAGTCACACCATCAGTAACACTCAGGCTGGAAATACAGTCAGTGTTTAAGGTATCTTTTTTTTGTTTCTGTCTCCATTCCTTTCCCCCACCCAGGCCACGTTCACGGAGGAGCAGTGTGAGCAGCAGCCCGTGCGTTCCCCCCTCGCCTCGCCAGAGCCCTGCGCAGACTCCAGCGCTGTTCTTAGTCCTACCAAGGTTGCTCCAGTCCCTAAACCCAGAGCCTCGCAGCCGGGGAAGCCTCAGGAGAGCAGAGGAAGGGCCGAGCAGCGGCCCCCGCCGGCTGGGGGGGCTGTGGCCAACGCGGCGCCTCCCCAGGACACTGCCTTTGCACCAAAGGCACCACCACGGAGGAAGAAGTCGGCTCCCGCAGCGCTTCATCTGCAAGTCCTCCAGAGCAGCGACAACCCACTGTTTAGAGGCTTGATGCTCAGTTCCAACAGTAACAACAGTCCTGGGCTCTCCATCCAGGCTCAGGACGCCGATGTCCTTCCAGATGCACCGGCGCAATCTGCGCTCTTGGCTCCTGCCCACTGTGGCAACACGCTGGGCGCCGCCCAGGCAGTGGCTCCAAGCACCCCGGACGCGGCTGCCGGCCCTCAGGGCCCTCCTGCACCCCAGCCCCCAGGCACCGGCCCCTCCGCACAGAGCACCCAGCTGCTGGACCTGGACACAGATTTTTCCTGCCCATTTTCCATACCGGCACCATCAACGACTTCTCCCACACACACTCCAGAAGATTCAAAACCCCCCAGCGCAAAGAACTTCAGTCACTGGGTTACATTTAGCGATGACGAAGACAGCAGTGCCCTGGCAGAGGGGTTCGACAAACTGCTCCTCTTCGAACAAAGCAAAAATACCTCCATGAACACAAATGCTAATTTAGAATTGTAAAATCTGCCTCCTTAATGTTCCTGAGGAAATCATAATTAGGATGTAAATTATTATTATTATTTTTACACTCAGACCTGTATTTAAGGAACTGTATCATCAGGCAACACTACCTTTCATTTACATGTTTAAAAACAAAGGTACTGCCCCTGGAGGGAAGTATACTGCATATATACAATCTAACATTGCTACAGCTTGCTTGAAACGTTCTTTAAATTATTATTTTCATTAATCTATCTTAAAATGTTTTATTTCAGGTACAAATCATATGTAAGGTTATGTAAGGTAGGATTAAAAAAAGAAAAGATTTTTCTGTGAAAATTGCTCATCAACCACTTTCTGTCATTTTAAATAAAGCACTCTTTTAAAAAAGAGTTAGACTGCTCTAGTTATTCTGGAATAAGCCTCCCTAAAGGGACTGTAAACTAGCATAACTAACTACTGCGGCATCATCAGAATGTTATGGCTCTGCCAGAGCGTTTCCAGTGTGGAAATAAGTCTTCTTTTACCTCCTAGCTTAGCTACAAGCCGGGGAGCCCTATGCTTTGTTTTTAAACAGTCGAGCCTGTCAACAGAGTAACATAAAAGGTGGGTATGGTGAGGAGGGAAAGCAGAAACAGTAGGAATTTGGTATTGCCCCTTTTGTAAGAAATACCTGTTTTTACTTCAGCCCAGGCAAGGCAACCCTCTCTAGCACAAAAGCCCCCTTTTCTGTGCTGTGTTGTTAATGGTAGCGTGTCTAGGTCATCTCTTTTAAAGATTTAAGTATTGGGTCAGTTAGGACTAGGGCTTGCAGGGAGTTCAATGGCCTCTCTCATGGATTCTCTGCGCACTTTCCAGCCAGCACCTTGGTTTGGGTCAGGGCTGTCTTCCTCTTGACAGGGTCTTTGCTCTCTTGTCGTGCAGCATGTTGACATGTTGAGCGTGTGAATACAGGTGGCAGACGGGTCAGGTGAGGCCTGCTGACTATGGAGGACATTAGCACCTTAATGCATGAAGATAAAGGGATTTTAATAATTCATTAGTTGTGTCCCTGTTCCCACTTTGCTTCTTGGTGTAAAAATGCTCACATGTACCAAAGTCAGATGAGAAAAGACCTGGTCAAGTAGGATGCATGCTGATAGGCCCCAAAGCTCAGCCCCAAGGGCAGGAAGGGGCTGCAGAAGGGATGCATCCTGCAGAAAGGGATGGACATGCCCTGGCAGGGCTGCCCACTCCTCCCAGAAGCTGCTGTGCGGCGTGGTGCAGGCAGCAGAGCGGCTGTGCAACGCGGTGCGGTGCGGGCAGCAGGGCGGTGGCGCGTGCTGCGGAGTGCCAGCCTGCGAGGCTACTCCTCGCTTTGCACGAGGGGAGACTCTGCCACCATCAACCTCAGCAGGGCATTAAAGCCACGCTGCAGCAGCGCCCCAGGTAGGAAGGACCCTAGCCCTGCAGCTAGAACTGTGGGCAGCCCCATCTACAGCACGTGCATGACGCATGACATTGCACAGGTGAAGCCCTGTACTTCGGGGCAGGGAGCTTGCTTGGGAGGCGACCGCACCGACCCAGCTACCAGCAACGCAACAGCAGTGACCTGCCCTGGGCAGCTCCTTGCAAACAGAAGGGTTAAAATCAGATGATCCTTTCGGGCTCTGAAAAGCTCACAAGATGGGCACACTAGCCCTCTAGATGCTGCAGGCAAATATTCCTGC